CAGCCAAGTAAAGATAAACCCACACTATGACAAATTTGTACTTTTAACCATAAGGATTATGTAGATTGATTTTTTTCTTTACAGACCAAAACCACTATGGAAAAAAATCACAGTATTTCATTCAAAAGGAAACATCGTTGGTACATATAGGGGAAAAGAGTTAAGGTGTGCGATGCTCAGTGGGTCAGGGGGTAAATGTTGCATGGGCCTCTTTGAAATATCCTAAGGAATCCTAAACTATGACTGGCCATCAGCCTTGTTGGAGGTGGGTTTTAAAGGGATATTCCAGTGTGAATTTCAAGGGATATTCCGGCGTAAAATTAAGTTGGGTCAACACACCGTAAGACTGAGTTACTAGTGACTAGTACCATGGTTGGGACCCTATATGTACTGTTGATGAAGTTAGGTGCTAGTCTGAACATTATATGTGGCTACGAGTGGCTTTTTGGTTAAGGTTTGTGTGTGGAGACCAAGACCGTGTATTGCTATCATGTGGTCATTGCAACATTCATCTCTCGACGGGGTGTCTAACTCAGTCTTACGGTGTGTTTGATCCTAATTTAATTTCATGCTGGAATATCCCTTTAAGATATGGTCAATCACACCATAAAACACCTGGTTAGACACCTCCTCGAGAGATGAATGTTGCCGACCGCTTGCTTCTCTAGTTATACCAACTTCAGCAATGACCACACGATAGCAATACACAACAGTCTATGTCTCCACGCACAAACCTCAACCAAAACGCCACTCTATAGCCACAATTAATGCTGAGAACAGCTCCTAACTTCATCAACAGTTCATTTAGGGTCCAAGCCATGCTACTGGCCGCCAAACATCTTTTTAGCTTTGCCTGATTTCTTTAACAAAGAGACTAAACACAACTCACCCAATCTTCTCCAGCAGCCGCTTGTTTGTGGGGGAGCCCTGACGAGTTGACTGAGTGTCTAACTCAGTGTTACAGTGTGTTTGACCAAAAATTAAATTTACGCTGGAATATCCCTTTAAAGGTACATTAAAATCAATCATTTTGTAACCCATTTCCAACTGATGTACTGTTAGCCTTGAGAGTGACAACAGGCAAACATCAGAGCTTCAGGTATCTGCTCAGTGCAATAGCATTGACAAACAGTGTTGAAAAGTGTTTGCACACTTTCTTGTAGAGTTCAGGCAGAGTAGTGTGGGAAATATATTTATGTGATTTTAACTGAGCCTGAATCCAAAGTGTTCAGTCAGAGGTTTTTAACCAGCTGCAGATTTGTCATCCAGAGCAATGAACCCAAGAACCTTCACTGTTATTTTTCACACTTTCAAACCATCTCTGGAAACTTTCCTTGCAAAACACGAGCCTCACACTAATCGCGGATAGTCGCCAATGTTGTTGGTGTAAGAAGCTTGAAACACCTTCAAACTGCAGACCCTCTACTATTTGCTTCCTCTATGCAAGAAACTCTCATGCTTTGGCTACTGTTTACATATTATGTACTGCAACAGCCTGTCCATGTCGTAGAGAGCAGGGCTGTTGTATAAAGTAGTTAAGGTTAAAGAGTATAGATTGGACAGATTATACAGTATTTTTTATTTTGCATATCTTATCCAGTAATTTCAACAAGTATGGAATCAGGGAATCTCTGGTGAAGACACACAATATTTGGGGGGTGGCAAAATCAACATAAAATCAGGTTTTTCAACATTTTTGTCAGTGCTTTAAATTGTAGAATGACTTGCCATACCTTTACATCACAGGACAGATGTGTAGAAGAAAAATTTGTCCATCAAAAACTGTCAGCAAACTCCACCTCCCCAAGTAATTGGGCCACCATAGTCGAAAAGCCTGGATACACCCTGGGGAGGGTCAGAAACATCAATATAAACTTAAAGTTCCTCAAGACAGCTACATTTAGATTGAGACCAAACTTGAGCAAAACTCTAATAACACTGACACCAAATGGCCTTTAAACAATTTAAATCAATGCCTTGCAGACATTTTATGTGGTAAATCAGTGAGCTCCTAAATTTATCAAAACTTAAATCAATCATGTCACTCAACAGAGTCAAGGTGCCGGGGAGCCCAGGAGTAAAATATTAGGTAGAAATACTCCAGAAGAACTGGTCTGAAGTGACTGTTTTCTCATTATAGTTAAAGTTGATTGTATCATAATGTTGTAATATAAAGATGTCCTTGATGCACTCACTAAGAGGATTGTTTCTGGGAGTGTTTAAAAGATCCTTAAAGTACTTGGACTCAATCACTCCAGAGTGCAGAAGATCAAAATAGTGAAAATAAATTTAAAAGCTACTGCCAGGACAACAAATTCAGCCCAAGAGCAGACTGTAGGATGCCAAAAGAAGTCTCCAAGAAGTGAATGTGTCGAGCAGAATCAGAAAGTGACTGCACATATTTGCATGGGACGTGTGCCAGAGGGAAGCCTTTTCTGTCTCAAAAGAACATCAGAACAAAACTGAAGTTTGCCAATGAATACTACGGCAAGGCCAAGGACTCATGGCACAAAAGGTTTAAGAAAGATGAGTCAGGGATAGAGGATTTTGGTCATAGCACCAGAAATGGGGCAGAACAATTTCATTTTATACACAAACCTTTCATTGGCTGTAAGGCACAGTGGTGGAAATGTTTAGAATGGCTTTGATGCTTTAGGATCGGAGCATTTAAAATCATACATCCAACTATAAAATCTGAGTCATACCGAGGAGTGATTGTGCTGATTATAAAAGATAAAGATCCAAGTAAATCCATTGGGGACTGGTTAAAAAGCAGAAATCCAGAGCTGTGGAGTAAACAAGTGAAAGCCAGGATCTTAAGCAGGGTGAAATGTTGTGGGGGGACTTCAGATGTGTTATGAATACAACCAAGCCTTCCAAAATCTTGTTGTTAAAGGATTCCTACATCAGCTGCATTTACATGGGCACAAATAATCGGAATAAATGACCGATCGGTATAAAAATCCGTCATGTAGCCTTTACATGTCAATCGGAAGATTCTGATCCAATTCAGCTCAATCGGAAAGAAATTGTATTCCAACCGAGAGGGGTGGTTTATGCCGAGTGTTATTCCAAAATGCATCCATGTAACACTTTTTCCGATCGTGACTCTCTTACCTGACTCGATCTTCACTCTTTAGCCTTTGGCCGGTACAGGAGGTTTGATTATTAAAACTCTGGCATTAAACACATCCACAGGTGCCGTGTCTGCTCTTCCGGTAACATAACAAGGCGAACGTAGCGTAATGATGTCACATCTGCACGCACAGTGCAACCTTTGACAGAACAGTAACATAAGTATGCAAGGGCGCCATCTAGAGACAACTATTAACAGAGGGGAAAACCCCTGAATTGGATGGAGTGAGCCACTACCATGTTTGTTTGTTGAGAGCACAGGCGTGAATACAACTCTTCTTCTGCGGGTGTTTTAGCGAAATCAGACAACTCTGCGCATGTCCAAATGCTTCTGTGGAGTTTGCTTAAAGAAGCAAAAACGAGTGATAAGGGTAGGCAAAATAAGACATGGGCTTCAGCCTACACCTTGGAGAAGAAGAATGTATTTGTATATTTGTAAAGAACAATCAAATCTGAAATCTGAAAATCAACTCCACAATAAATCTGAATCTGAAAATATCTGAAATTATCTAATTTTAATAAATCAGCAATGTATACACACGTCGTGATCGGATGATTTGATCTTGCACCCTTATAAATAGTGGATTCAGATTATCCGATCCCCCAATTTTTTAATGGGATCCAGAAATTTTGCACATGTAAACATGGCTAATGTGATAGGAGGTAAAATAATTCAACCAGTACTTGTCAGAGCACTGTGAGACAACCACACCAATCATCACAACTAAGTTATATCTGCAAAGAAGGCCGTAGAAGCAGCAAACTCTTGTAGTTTTTTTTCGATTTCATTACTTCAACCAAAAGGGTCTTTTCAAATAAACGCTGAACATACCATCCTGTTCTATGTTTTTACTGGCTTTTTCATGTGCTGACATACAGTACATGTTCTCAATTCAAATTCCAAAGTTGAACAGCATTTTTCTGTCAGAGAAAAATAAAGCTTCAAATGTGTATAGTTCCATTATGTAAGGTTTACATAAAGCATTTTTTATGAACTTGTGCATAAAAAAACTGCTTCAAAATGATGAAAAGTGTGGGAAAATATTTTATTTCATTGGAGCAATCTGCAGTACGCTGCAGGGAAAATAGGTTCAGTCATGTCCTTATTACACATCTTTTCTATAGAAGCATCACAAGTATGCACACACTTATATTCAAACAAACTCCTGAACAAACAGTTGAGGGTTATGCTCTTTGCTTAGACAGGATAAACTTTTAATAGGCATTCCAGCGCGCAGCATCAAGACAGTTTTGCAGACTGATATAGCATTAGCGAGAAGAACAGTGCTTCTATTTGTGCTTGCCTTGTCCTGTGACAGGAAGACCTATCAGGTGCTCATCTCTACACCGCCCCCCCTCCCATCCCCTCTCTCCTCCTGACCTCATTCTGTCATCTTCGTTTTCCTTCTTCCCCACTCTCAGGTCTTTTATAAAGTGTCTCCATGCATTACACATTTAACAATGCATTAAAAATAGGCCACCATCAATCAGTCATTCAGCAGCGGCGACAGAATCTACTTGTGGCACTGATTTGATATGTTTTTTAAGATTCAGGAAAGAAAGGAACGCTAAAAAGTCTGAGGGAGCTGTGAATGATAAACTAAACAGAGATAAAAACACGCATTTATGTGCTAATAATACAACATACCCCCTTAAAACCCACCGTAATAATTTTAAATTCCTGTTTGCTCGGTTTTCTGAAGGTGCCAGCATCCAGACACTGAATCAGAATGATACACATGCAGGCGGTAAGCCGTGACAAGATTCCTGTTGATGGGTGCCAGGTTAACATCGTGCCCAAAACAGTGATTTGAGAACTGTGATGCATGATACAGGATAGGTACGAGGTATCTGATGTAATGTTTGGGAGTGAGTCAAGCCCCCCGAGGGCAAATAGTCTGAACAGTCTGACTCCAGGTTGCTCATGCCAAAGCAGATGTTCAGCTGACGACAGCAGTACAAAGGACGTGCTATTCACAAGGTATTTTATATCATTAGGAAGGCATGTCAAGGTTGTTCCGCTGCTTCTCTAGCTGCTTTGATAGCCGTATATATATTTAATAAAGAAATATTTTAGACCTTAGCAGTGATTTTCACAGTTCCACATGAGCTTTGCTAACACAGTAAGGTGTTCTCCTGCCCAGGTGGAGGTGTGGAAGTCTGCTTGGGAGCTTTGATGTTGCAGCTCTGCTCTGAGGCTTGATCCTGCATTCTGGACTTCAAAACAGACTGCACCTCGTCATGGGTAACAGCTTGGAGAGGGAGACACGGGCTGCACAGACACGCCTGAAAGACCGCACACAAACACACAGAGAAGAGGAAGTTTGGTTAGAGAACAACAGGCATTAAATGTGCTTGAAAATGGCACATTATGTGTTTTATTTATGTGAGGGATAATGTGAGTGGAACGCTATTTGCATGTCTTTGAGTAATGACCTACAGTAAACAGACTTGTTGCTTTAATACAGAATTGCTAAATGGCACAGTGAAAGTGGTTCTGCTTTATATCAGTTTGCAATGACATATGAGGAAGAAAATTTCCTGACTTTTGTCCCTTTATTGGAAAAAAGGATACACTTAAAGAAAAAGTGCATCAAATCCGAAAATAAATATGCAAGGAAAACACATTGCAAAAGAAGGGTCGTTTTTCATGCACTCTTGTGTGTAAAAAGCCAAATCAAATCAAAGCACTCTGGTGTGGTGACAGCCAAATCAAATCAAAGTATGTTTTAGATATGTCCTTCTGAGCTCGTAATACAATAAAGGCTTTTAAAGAGAAATTTCCCTTGAAAATTGCCTTGAAGCTATGTTTTCTTCTCCCTCAACGCACATCACTCTGACTCGGTGACAAATTGTCTGGTAGATTGCCAAGTGTCTGTTTTTCTTCTTTTTTTTTTTTTTTCCCCTTGCTCTACCCGACGATGTTTTTCCAGACCATTTTCACTTATTACCCCCTCGGGTCATTGCTCGCTCCAGTCTGGCCACTTTACAGACATGACTCCATATGTCCTTGATGACACATATGATAGCTCACCCAATGTGGATCACAGTTTTCACCCCCCACCGGGTTTGCCTTAAAATTCAATAGTGCCCTACATAAGTTGCAAAACATAAACAGCTGCAGGGTGGTATATGCATCTTACCTTGAAACATCTTTTGAATCTTTTGCTGACAACATACAAGGCAATGGGGTTGATGCACGAGTTTAGAGATGCCATATTCATACCAAAATAATCCAAGACCAGTAAGGCACTAGAGGGAAGAATAAAAGTCTTAGTTATTCAAAATCACTTTCTAAAAAGTGCAAAAAGAGGGACCAGATTCATGATGCTTACCTGAGTAGCTGGCACCTGTTTGGATCTACTTCATCATATATGGTTAATTTCAAAATCCTGCTTAAGTATAAAGGAAACCAGCAAAGTGCAAACACAATCACCAGGCAGAAGACAGTTTTCGCCACTTCTCTCCTCTGAAAAGAACAAAAAAAAAAGAAAAAAAGATCAATACCGAAGTCGATTTTACACTCAAATGTGCTTAAAAAGAGAGAAAAAAGTGGCCTTAAAGTGTTAACCTGCTTGGTGTGGTCGCTGAGTGTATTCTCAGTATTTCTGAGCATTTTCCTGGTCATGAGAGTGTAGAAAACCGCAGTCCAAGCCAGTGGCATACAGAAGTAGAAGCCAAAGAGCCACCAGTCCTTTACTGATTTATAAAACTGTTGATTAAACATGACAGAGCTTACAGTCAGCCCAGCGGTTGCTATGTTACGGCATTCATAAAACAATATTTCACATGTACATGCCTGGGTTTACAAGGGCAACACCAAGACTGTGAGAGGAGAAACTCAGTTGGAAACATTGCATGTCACATTTCCATCAAACACCTGACAAACACATGTTGATCTGGTTGTTTTATCTTGGAGATTGTTACCCTACCTGCATGAATTGTGTGGTTTGCATGGGATGAAGCAGACATATTCTCAGAAGCTTGTCTTTATAGTCCATTGTTATCATATCAAAGCCGACCACTTCAGGCGCCGCCAGCAGAATAGAAATAACCCATATCAGAGTTATTTCGATTGCTGTCCACACCGAGACCCCGATGCCTTTGATTCGTTTCCAGGATACTACAGCTCTGTATCTGCAAAATCAATCAGGAAATATTAGGGCTTGAGGGACTATGTGTCTGTAACAAAGATATATATATTGCTTTAGTTAAAGGCTAATGCTAAAGAAATCTGTCTATTTGATGGAACACAGACACTTCCTTGCAAGGCTATTTTCTTGTAAGGCTGAGGACGGTGCTGCTTATCTCCTTACCTGTCCACACTTAAAGCACATAAGCTCAGCACTGTTATTCCAACCGAGGTTTTCTGTATGAAAGGGACGAGTTTGCACAATAACAAACCAAATGGCCAATCTTCTGCCATGAGCTGAAACAACAAAGAGCAATTTTCAGAGTGAAAAGAAAACACATTAACAATCAATTCAAGGTGAGATTGTGGTGTTAGAAAGGATCAAAAGAGCAGGAAAAGGTGCAGCATAGTTTTCTCTTTATAACTGCACAGCATGAAGTGAGTTACTCACCCTGTATGCATTGATTGGAATGTCTATCACAATGTGAAGCAGATCGCCCAGAGCAAGACTGGCAATGAGAATGTTAGGTCCGCTCCTCATGCATTTGTTTACGTATATGATTCTCAGTAAGGCTGAATTCCCCACAATCCCAACCACAAAAACAACAAGAGACACCACAGTATTGATATATTTGAAAGTGCCTCTGATCCCAGCCGACTCCAGGCACATAGGAGGGTGCGGTGTTTTTGGTCTTGCTACTTGGGGTGGATGAATTGAGCTGTTGGATTTCTGTTTTTCCAGTATTAAAAGAGCAGGGGAGGCCGTTTCTGAGCGCGGGATTACAGGGGATGGCTCTGAATGCTGATCAGCGGCCTTGCCACCGATGAAAATATTTCCCAAACAAAGAATAAGAACCAGGGTCCACATTGTTGATGATATCCTCTTAAGGCTCCTGAAAGGTTATTTTGCCTGCGCCGGACTGAAAATAAGAGCAGAGATAATTAGCACATCCTTGCCTTCAGAAAAGGAGCAAAACACGTGGGTAAGGGATTATTTAATTTACTCATCTGAGGCAACGAGTACAAGGAATTAATCAAAATAAGATACCCGGAATAATGCCAGCTTACCTGTAGATTTACACACACGAATGCTGCATGAAATGAGTGTCAGTAATACCCATAAAATAGGCTGTATGTAAACACAAAAGACTACTCTACCATGACTTTGTAGCTACTGGCTATGAATGTTGAACGCAGTGGAGAGAAACCAGAATTTATAGACTCAGGTATTGTTGTCAGTGTTAATCATGAATCTGTCAGCAGTGACTCTAGTTACTTCCCTTGATGCATCATCCCCATTGAAAGAAGGGCATTGAGCTGTAATGTCTGTTATTAGAGTGAGATCATTGTGTTGGCTTTAGCAGGGTAACTATGTCATGGTTGTCTCTGTCAGAATAAAAGATGAACTTTATTCGGTTTGACATAAAGGATGCAACCAAAATAAAAACATGGAAAAGTGCCCATCTTATTGAATAAACTCATAAAGTCTCTGTCAGTGAGCTGAGGAGTCAGTAAAACAGGGCAGAAAAATGTCGTCTGCAGCAGTATATAAATTTAGATGTACATGATCTTTAGTCGTAACTACTGCTGGGCAACATCGTAAAAGTGATACACATGTAATCGTGCATTATTCAGTGGCTGTCCTCTAGAGATTTTGCTTCACTTGACATATCACGTTCCTTTAAAAGATCAGTCCCAAATCTTTTCAGAGAGATACTGCCTCTGCACCTCCTGAGAGTCCTAAAGAAGGTGACTTCTCCCCACGACAGCTTTGTGACAACCCAGAGAGCCTGAAGGAAGCATGAGACATGTGACGACCAGAAAGACGCCATTGTTAATATCCTACCTGACAACTTCTCCGGCTTTCTTTTGAATGCTCATATCTGTGTTCCGCGAGCAATAAATGACCTTGGGAATCTGTGTGTGCCGGCACACTTCCAAAAAAGAACAACCACACGAGAAAAGTGAGTTTCATGAGTTGGAAATGAAAATGAATGACATCTGTTCACAGCCACGCTCAACTCAACCATATTCAGATAGCGCCTTTTATATTCAACAAAATACAGCCCAAAGGGTTTCACAAAAGAAAACAGTATTATCAGTAAAATAAATGAAGAAAAGTAATGAAAAAAACAATTAAAATGGTTTAGATGTCATTTGTAGTATTTGTTAAAAAATATAATAATTGTAAAAAAAAAATAACAACAACAACAACAATAATAATAATAATAGTAATAATAATGATAATAATAATAATAATAATAATAATAATAATAATTAGAAGAAGAAGAAGAAGAAGAAGAAGAAGAAGAAACATTTTAAAATCCATAAAAAGTGAGGCTAAAGCCACTGAATCACTCTGAGTTGAAAGCCAGATTAAAAAGATAGGTCTTCACTTTCTTTTTAGAACACAAAGAGAGTTTTCTGCTTTAATATCCAGAGGCAGAGTGTCTCAGAGTTTAGGAGTATAAAACAGAAAGGTCTCTCTTCAGTGCCATTTAAAAAGGGAAGAATTTGAGGACCTCAGAGACCTGAATGCAAAATACAAAGAGTAAATCTGTGACATACGGAGGAGCAAGGCCACGAAGAGCTATGAAAATAATTAAAAGAAGTTTAAAATCACATCTAAAAGAAACAGGGAGTCAGTGCAGAGTTTTAAAACAGAGAGTTTCTTTTTTAGCTTAGAGAAGAAACCTGTGAGTATACTCATAAGGTGACGTGCTGCCCATACAGGCCAACAAAGAGGAGCGTGATATTTACGTAGCCGGGAGCTGTAGGGATTTGTACAACTCTTGGAAACACCTGGAAGTTCTTGGAAATCTTCCAGGAGGAGTTGGTAAAGACTGCTGGGGAAAGTGATGTCTTGGTTTAAGATGCTTAGCCTACTGCGTCTAGACCCTGGAAAGAGAATGGACAGATGGATGGATAGATGATATGTTTCTACTGACTTTCAAGAAATAACTTTTATATTGTAATAGTATTTTTGTCATTCTACTCACTTTTTATGTAAAAATGCCTGAAAATGACCAAAAACAGTTCAGTGGTGGTTGTAAGTCCTTGGTCTATTCCTGTATCTGATAGCATGTGGTGACTTTGACCAGTTTAAGTGGCTATAGCTAGAAATCCTTAACAACTATACCAGCATGCATTGGGTGAGTCATGCCTCCTTGTGTAACTGAAGTGTTTGGCTTGTTAGCCACTGTAAGAGTATGCTGCTTTCACCTGTAAACAGGATGTCTAACACCAAATGGCAGCAGTACAATGAATCATCTCTAGCTTGTGAAGAATGCCAAGGCCCACAGATCAACGTTGGGCCTAGGGAGAGTTATAACTTACACTAGTTGTTGGCCAGGGAAGATATTTCAAATACTCTTAACTTGTTGTTGTTGCTGCTGAAGGTGCAGAGTTGACTGTGAACTCATTCATCTATAAAAGCCAAATGATATATGTTCTCTTGCTGAAGACTTCCTCTGCCTCAAGAGGCCAAAAAACCATTTAGCTTACATTTCTGGTCATTATATTTGTCTGGTAATGCATTTCCTTAATACCCTGTCCCCGGTGTCTGTTCTTCTGAGCAGTCCAGAATCACCAAAGTTCACAGAGCTAGCATTACACATGCTGGGAAGAAGACTCATTACTTTGGTGAGCACTCGCACCCAGACAGATTGGAAGAGGGTGGAGCAGGGGCTCTCTATCAGCTGTCAAGGTAAGCCATGTCATCAGTTTAGGTGAGAAGGGGTCACTTGCTCCTGCCCTCACTTGCCTCTCATGACTTAGACATCTGTAAGATTTCCAATTATTTCTCTCTGTTGCAGATCAAAAGGAAATTAAAGATCTCCAGTTGTTGCAGGAAGGACTCCTGATTTTGCAGCGGTAACTCGCTCAATAATTGTGAAAATGGGATTCACACTGAGCTCGGTGATGAAAATTATGCTAATACAGCTATACCGAGGTAGAAAGTAACAGTGTACAGTTGTTCAAGTAATATCTAAAGTACGGTATAAAGTTAAAGGAGTATCAGAGTAAACAGATTAAAACACTTTCTCTAAGATTTTCAGCCTTTAAGATACTGAGCTTTAAGGTAAGATAAGATAAACCTTTATTTGTCCAAATGGTGGGGGGAATTTGCAGTGTTACAGCAGCAAAGGATCAGCAGAGCAAACATTGAGGAATAAGTACACAGTGCACAGATAATTATAAAGAGTTTACTTGGACCTATACAAAAGATCTCATGTATAAAAAAAGAGAAAAATGTAAGCAACAATAACAAAAAACTAAAAAGCAGTTCTACACAGTGGACAAAAAATGTATATGTTATGGCACATATTTGAGTTATTACATCTGATAAAAAAAAGTGTGTATTTGCGATTATAAGAAATATCTAGCCTGTCGATATCACACATTTTACATTATATTCGTAGCAAACATTCAACACCTTTTGTGAGGCAATGTTGTACTATCATGTTAGAGGACTGAGAATGGGAAGATAAAACACCAGATACTGAGTGCAGGGCCACCTTGTCTCATAACATACAAGCCAGAGCCAAAACAAACTCCTTGTGTTGAAAATGTATCATAGACCTCGTCCTGTATCTCTATATTGCTCATAGTGCCTGAAAATGACAGTGATGGCCTTTTTCATTTTCCAAAAGTAATATCAGTGTGGGGAGGCTATAATATCAGAGGTGCAGAGGTGATACTGAATCTGATTTTTTTCCCACATGCACTCTGGGTTATAGGTTGAATCAAAATTGGTTAGGAATCTTGCTTAGTGCGACTGTTGCCCACAGCTCTGTCAGACACTAAAAATGAGTCGGTTGAAATAAATAAATCAGACAAATAACCTCTGTTTTAATGAGGGCACACTATTATTAAAAACGAGAGAAATGTAAGTCTTATGGTTACATTTTCCTCTATTCATGTCCTTAATTGTAAGCAAGTTAAAGAAATGAAAGAGCTGAAAAACTGGCACAGACGGAGTTCGATGGAAAGATTGATGTGAACTCTCATGCTAGCGTCACCAGTGAGGAGGAGAGGGAAGCTTCAATGCAGGAGGCAAGGAAAGGTGAGTAACGTGCAGGTCCTGACCCGTCTGCATTCATTTTATACGGCTTTCTGTTCAAGGCTGATATAGACTGACAGCTTATAACTGTACTGTACCTGCTTATTATTGTGCCAGATTGTGTACCATTAAAAAGTGTTTCTTATTTATACTTGCTGGAGCGGGGGAGATGAAAAATTGGCTCTTTCTGTACCTTTCAGGTGTACTTTTTCAAACGTCTGCAAACACTTACTTGCTCAGTGCTCACTAAAGGTTGAGACATTTGCAAGTCTAAAGAAAACCTAAAAAACGTATCTTGAAAAGGTTATGAAAAATATGATTAAACCTCAGGCGCTAGTCTGGATGGACATAAATGCTGAAGATTCATGAGTGCAGGCTTTTATCTTTCTTATTGACAAAATATCAATACATGGGTTTTCTCCTTTGCCCATTCAAGCCGCATTGAGATCAAACACGAAATGCTCTAAAGGCTGTCAGAAAAGATTCCCCACATCAGCGATGAGACCCACATCCCTGAGATAGACATCAAAAACACTCCTGACATGTTTACACTACAGGAAGAGACAGATGGTGAGCTGAAAGTACGTTTGAAGCCATGTTTCCGTAAAGACATTCCTGTTGCCGTAGCCTCTCCTGAACCAGTGTTTTATCACCGGTGCATATTGCAGAAATGTCATAAATTACTATTTGGTGTCACAGTCAAAAGAAGCAATCAGGAAGTTGTATAGAAGTGGGGAATGTTTTTTCACCTTGTGTCCTGATGGAATGGGTAATATTTTGAATCCTTTTAAGCAGCGCGCAAAGTGGAGGATCAAGGACTAGGTCACAGGACTTAATGAGAGGGTGCGCATTTGTTCCCTTTGATAAACGGTTTGTACAGTGTTAATGATCCCTAATAGACAAAGTTATCCCTCTGGGAAAGCAGCCATTATAATTTCCTCTGCAGAAGCGTCTGTCTTCACTTACATAATCTTTGAGGACAAGGACATAGCACCCAACTTCAAAGGCTGTTTTGCAAATAAAGGCAAGTGTACATGCTGCCATTCCAGTGAAATGATATGGTAATCCTCGCTCCCAAACATCTGTTAATTATAAAAATTGAAACCAAAGTCTTCTTAAAGCGCTCAATTTACTCGAAGGAATAGCTTCACATTTTGGAAAACACTTTTATTCAATTTCTTCAACAATGTCAGATGAGAGTAAAATTACCACTCAAGCATCTGCTCACCACATTTAAAGTTGCAGCTCCTAGTGAGTTAGTTTAGCCGTGCGTACATGCTGGGAAATGACTATTTTGAGTTCAACTGAAGGTATAATGATAATAGATTCTGCGCAGAACCAGAATATTTTATTTATCCCATTACAATTTCTCTTAAAAATATAAATATTAATAGAAAAAGAATAGAAACAGGAATTAAATTAGAAAAATTAAGATTTTTTTTGTTTATGGGTTATGGGCAAGACTGTTTGTTGACCAGCTGTAGTTGCCTTGAAACCAGTAAAGATCTTAAGAAGTATCAATATATGGTCTACAATAACAAAAGACCTCCTTCAGTTATCATTATTATTATTATGCATTTCGTAATTTCTAATCAATTCAATTAATTAGAAATTACAAATGTTTAGATTTGTGGTTAGCGGCTGGCCAGTCAATAGCAGAGAAAAAAAAAAGAAAAGAAAAGAAAGGATAATACCAAAGACAAAACAGTGACAGGTGATAAAACATAAAGGAAGCTGGGTGAGAGTTGTCTACCAAATTGAAGAAAACACATACAAATAAACCCTAATTTAGCCCGGCTTTGGCAATGAAAATAAATGTAATCTGCTCATTTTTTTCAGCTGCAAAAATTAAATTCAAATCAGTGAAATCATCTCTAAATCGCCACTATCATCTTGTTTGCATCTTTGCTAAGTATCTAGTGAATAAGCAAGATTTTGCTTTTTCTTGAATTTGCTTTGTCAAGTAAAAATAGTCAGTAATAATTAGGAGTCCAGTCTTTTCTGGAACCTCGACACTCAAAAGATTAAGACCCTTTAGTGACTGTTTGACATGGCGTAGCTTCTTTTTGATTACCCTGCTGCTTTCAAGTCTAACGTTAGCCGTGTGTATGTGTGTTTAACTCATCTCTGCGTTGTGTCTGAAGTTTGAAACTGATTCCTGTTGGAGGTCTCTGCTTCAGTGCTATAAGAACTTTGAGGAGGCCATCCAAGTGCTTGTATTTTGACCTACATGTGCATGACCTTCTATTCGAGCCTGTAATCTTTGCCCTGGGCCCTCACATCAGTGTGTGTACACACTCCGACGACTGCAGGTACCTCACCTTTGCATATCAGCAAAGCATACTGCACTTTACAGTCGGATCAAAGCTTGAGGTTTGCGATGATAAATGCGCTGTGGACGTGCATGCAGTGATTTACTAACTAGTGTCTCTCTTTAGTGCATATAAAACAGGAACCTCACAAGCAAACTGTGCAGCAAATTACATTAGTGATTAATGACTTGCAATATGTGCTCAAAACTTTTTTTTTTTCTTTTGACGCAGTTTATTTATCCAGAGAGCCATGACAACCCAGGGCAAGATGCTCTGAAGAGATCTAAATGAAGAGTTTAGAGATTTACTTTCTGTTGGACCAGCTGCAGACCTGCGTGTTCCACCACCCTGCAAATCTGAGCCACATTAAACCACATTACAGTTTCATTGCCGTGCTTAGCAGACAAATGGAAAAGTAGAAGTCACTACAAAAGATAAAAACCCTTCTAAATTTAAAGAGAAATAGAGAATAGGCATAAGCTGGTATCATTTATGACTGTGTTACAGTTAACAGTCTTATATTATTTAAAGCCTCTTCAGTATTTGCTGTTTATAGCCATTCACTGTTACTATCAGAGTGTTAAGAGCTTGAGCTTTCCAGGAAATTTATGTGAGGTTGGGTCAATTGTTTTGGCTGTGCAGACATTCCTGTAAACATTAATATCAGTTTATAGTTTCAGTGCCCCGCTGGCATCAAATTTGGAGAGGAAATAGTTTGGGGGTAAAAGCCAAGGTTGTCCAAGTTTTAGCTGTGTAAACAGAGCTTAAAAGATCACGGAGAACAAAATTATTTCAAAGTTCCTGTCATGATGGATTCATCACTTTGACGTCAAGGTAAATATCCCTCTGAACAGCAAAATCAAGGCTCAAACTTTCCAGGAGGCTAAAGGCATTCATCCAATACTTATTGAAACTTTCTGACAAGGATGTTATGGTACAATTTGTTACCTTTGATTTTAGAGCCAAGTTCTTGGCATGCAAATTCCTGTTGGTTCTTGAATTGTCTTCATTGTTTTTGGTCCCAATGAAGCGATATTTCTATGCAGCCTGAACAGTTGTGTTTATGTTTCAGTCGTTACTAATAAATCTTGCAGAGCACAGTGTTACTTCTGGAGTTGAAACCTTGTTGTTGTCTGATCTGATTTATTCATATAGGCTTTGTAAACAAAACACTTCTGTGTTAAATGGCTTATCTTGCTTGACAATTATTGGCCAAAACTCAATAACAGCAGTTAACCGTAAACGGCAAAAGCATGGTGGTGGACAGCCCGATCACAGGCGTCATTTCAAGTAAACTGGTGGAAAGTTTGGTATATTTTACCACTGCCTGTTTATAATGTGGCAAAAAATGTTAGCTTCTGTTAGAATTCTAAATTGGTAAACAGTGTGGCAACATCATTTGTTTCGTTTAAGGATGGCCGAGGAGTAATAACGGTCACTGGACATAGATTTGAGAGCAGCCTTAGAAACTTTTCGACTCCTCTGATTTGGAAAATGTGGAGTCAGATTCTGTCCTGCAATCCAGGCAATAGTCACAGTGCTAGTTAGCGCCTTTTTAAGTTGCCACTTGCAGAAAGCGATAATAGCAACAATGATAAGTAGACTTTTGCTTGAAAGTACACATGTTTATCTCACACCACCTCTCTCATTCCTCTCTTGGTCATTCATAACACAACACCTCTAATTTCAAGCTCCATGTGGCTGTTTTATTCAGAGGAATTATCATTTATTACCTTCCACTTTACAAGCAATGGCACGTTGAAGCTAGAGGTCCGGCTTTTACTTCACATCAAGTCTGTAATTCTATCTAATTATGTTCACCACTGTAGTTCTTGCACGCACAGTCACAGTTAGATACGCCAAACATAATGCAACCCTGAAATGCATTATTACTATTTTCAGTGGAAGAAAGCCAACCCCTTGGATGAAATGTCGGGAGATCTAATATTTCTCACTGGATGTTAAGATGCTGTTGATTTGTTCTCATTTATTCAGGAAGTAAACAGTACTGAACATTTTTTTTTTTGCAGCAGCAGCAGCAGCAGCACCATTGCATGCATTATAGAACAATGCTGTCTAGTGTAACGTTGCCGCTATTTATTTAGAAGTGTGAAGCAGATTTAACAGCTGCCATTTCTTTGCATTTATTGCAGCATCTTTTCATATTGCAGACATAAATTTCAACAACAGTTTCTAATCACCTCCATTTTTCAGAAGACAAAGAAGTTAAAGCTGGCAGTCAGAGAGAGATATCACACTACAAAAGCCGCACTGTATATGTTTTTGTGATAGACGCCAAATCAAAAATGAAGCCCTGGGGTATCTATGATTAATAAACCATGTTAGCTTCCTCTTGTTAAAACAAACAGATACATCACTGTGTACATCACACTGTTTTCTATCACCATCTTCATGCTGTGTTAAAAGACACCTACAGTGTGTGCGCACTGAAAAAAAACACAAAGATCAGCCTGATCCACACATCAAAGAATCTCCATTTACTTGTAGCTGATGCCAACATTATTTTTATCTTCTATTATATTTCTAGTTGGGCGTTTTAGCCAATTGGAGGCTTGTCGTATGATTGATTTCTATTATCTAGTTTCTATATAAGGCCCTCTGGAGGACTGTTAATTAGCAATTCTGAGAGCTGTTAATTATTGAGTACAAGAAACGTGCTGCAGAGATATGGATTTATTTCATTCCCCTTTTTTCTTTCAGTTCTCGAAAAGTCAGATCCACATTTGTTTAATGGCAATAACATAATCAAATACAGCATACCCTAAACAAAATGTTTGCAGAGTTGGTTATATAAATCCTATTTTGTTGGAAGCAAAGGCATCAAAGAGTCTGCGAACAGAAATCTGACTAAATCTGATGCTGATGGAGATCCAAAACAGACGGACAGACAGAAGATTGTATGTCTCGAATCTAAAACATAAGACTGGCTGTTTACTATTTAAGGAGAAGGATCATTTTTGGAGGGGCTGAATAAGAAACATGTTCATGTTGTGTCCAAGAAGAAGAAGAAATACCAAACCAAGCTGACTGCAAATCAAAGTGCTGGAAATTTGCTTAATTCTTCCATTGGTGTTTGGGATCCTCTTTAAAAATCAGCTAAATTATGTGTCTGCAGCAGTTTTTAAGGACCCCCGTCCTTTGTTGGATAGAGGTTTACTTTCTGCAATTAGCTCATACACCCCTCCCTCAAACTGAAAAACACAGCTATCCCTATAATATGTTAAAAAAAAGTGCTTTATTCAGTTTTAAAACATTAAAAAATTCACCTTTTTAAAAGAAATATGGGCATTACGGTGAAGTATAGGAGGTTGAACTTACTTCAGGGCCTTTGTACTTTATCTTTAGGTTCATTTTAAGTTCTGGCTCCACAGTAATCTCACATGAATGTTTGACAATCTGTGAATCAGTCTGCGGAGTCATAACCAGAAACCACAACAACACCTGGGCTGATGAGGAACATGAGAGAGGGTGCAGATGAGGTACTCTCCCTTCAGATTTCATGCTGACCTCGGTTTGTAAATGAGCGTGAATACCCAAGATAATTGTTAATAATTCATTTAGTTTTGGATCTGCAGACTATTACTACCCAAACCAAGACGGATTAGCAGCTTATCCGGAGCATTTGAGGTTGAAATGGGAGCTGATGAGTGTGTCAAGGCTGGGTTTCTATCCAGAAGATGGTTAACAATGAGAGCTCTCAACACAGTGTTGCAGATGTAAAATCACTGTCACTCAACTGCAGTCATGATGTCCTTGACAAAATAAAAGCCTCGCTGTGACATTTGGAGTAGGAGTGGAAGTCTCTGAAGTAGACTGAATTTATTTTTATGACATTAAACTAACATTTGAAAATGCTCTTTGTAAAGAGGCCTCTGACAAATGTTGAACATTTGAGATTAGCATATATGAGTTCTTTGTGTGTCTTAAGAGATAATTTTGCAATCGGAAAAGAACTGAATTTAACTTTTCATAGCCTTGTCTATCCTTGTCACAGAGCGGGTTTTATCTTGTGAGAGATGATATGACACGGTATCCAGGGACACGGGTTTGATTTATTCATGAAGCACGAGTTAAAGACCTCAAAGAATTTAATAAATTATGAAGAGTCTTTGTTTTTTTCTCCTTGGAGCGTTCCTAAAAACATGAAGTCTGAGTTGGAGATATCCCCAGATAATGAAGTGTTGGATTCACACAGCAAGGAAACTCCCCAAACTCCTGCAGCCTGCCAAGGAGAAACGGAAGAGTATTTAACTAATCTGGACAAGGTATAGAGGCAAATGCCACTTTAACGCCGTCTCTGTTCCCCCTCTCCATAAATAATATGAATCTACTTATAGAATAAGCAATTAGTGTGTTGTCTCTGTTGCTGCCGCTGCAAGACTTAAAAAAAAAAAAAAAAAAGGCTTTGAATACCTCATTAACTCGATGTTTTTCCTGCTATAGATTTGCCTTTTTTAGAAATGGAGTATCCTTTTAAGCGTGTACTCTGACCACATTTTAAGATCCTGGCCTCGTGTGGATCAGGCTCATCAGAGCAGTGACTGCATGACGCGTGCAACATTTGCTTTGAGCACCGCCAGCAGCTGAAGAAAGCCCCAGAGGCCGAAGATCAGATAGCCAACAGCGCTGACCTAAAAGAGGTGAGAGGATGAGTGTGTGTGTAACACTGCTGCTGATATGGAGACACCGTCATGATAAAAGAAGGCAGTGTGATCTAAAATAAAGTGCAATTTTCCTCATTTGTGTCGCTGTTTGCTGAACAGACAGTTACATTCACTTTTAATGTGCACAGCCTGGAGATGAAACAGAATTTATCATTAATTTGATTTACAAGCTAGCTAACACTTACAATGACATTTAACCACCACTGAATACTTGATGTGGAGACGGAAATGTCACTTATTTTTATTGCATTTTACTATAAAGACAATCTGAATTCAGGGGATGACATTTCCAGGTAGTAATTTTATGTAGGTCATTTTCCTAATCTTTGATTCAGTATTTTTGGCACATTAGTAGCTCAGGGGAAAGCAGAGTTTGTTGTCTTCCACTTTGGTTTTGTCGAAAATGCCTCAACAAATCCTGGATGACTGCCATGGAATTTTCATACAGACATTCATGGTCCCTGGAGGAGAAAGCCTAATGACACGAGTGATCCCCTGACCTCCCTTTATAGTGCCATCGTGGGTTTAAGTTTGTGGTTCAAAGTGAGATAAATACTGGCCAGTTTTCTGTGAAATTTGGTACGAATACTCATTATTTAGAGAGGTTAAGTCCTCCTGATGGTTTTGAAATCCTGGCTTCCCTTTAAAAATCCTCTGCAGGTTATGTCCATGACAAATAACTGTAAACCTGAGAATTTTCTGCGTGTGCTGCTTTGTACTATTAGATAAATCATTAGTTTAAATCACAGCTGAACTTTAGAGCTGTTTTCTGCTTTTAGCATTTCAGTAGATGTTAACATTCGACTAAACATGATGCCAGAGTTGCTGAAAATGCTCAAGGCTCTGGACTTGTTTACTTTTTGTTTAATATCCTTTTTTTTTCAATACACAATTTTGCTCCACAGCTTTATGCCTCTATTTCAATAATCTTATATATTTACCTTCTGTGCTGCTTTTATTTTATTTGCTCTTGCTTTGAGTTTTAACAGATTGTTTTAATGATTTTAAGCACTGTAAAGCTCCTGTAGGGAGTTTCTTAACATTTATGAAACATACTGAAATTAATATTAATGCCTTTCTACAATGTACAAAAGCAAATGTGACCATCAGTAAAAGACTTATTTATATAATATATATACTTGAGCTGCCAGAAAGAGCCCTATTTGGAATTATATATCCAGAAAATGGGTAACAAAGAGAGCTTTCAACACTGTGTTGCAGATGTAAAATCACTGTCACTCAACTGCAGTCATGATGTCCTTGACAAAATAAAAGCCTCGCTGTGACATTTGGAGTAGGAGTGGAGGTCTCTTAAGTCTCTCAATTTATTTTTTACTTTATCTTTCAAATGAAACAAAATAATATAAATGGTCAAAAGTCAGCAGGATGAATTTTGCGGTTACAAGACACGACTTCAGCATGCAGAGGACAAGACAGGCAAAGAGTGCTTTGTCCACAGAGGGCGCCAAATCGACACAAAGTGAAAGCTCCTCGCGGCAGCTTTAAGCTAATCATAAGGCTAAATGTGACTTCATTTAAGATTGAACAGTGTTGAGACAAAAACCTTTGAGGCTGTGACTCAACGCAGAAGGAGACCAGTCTGTGAGCTGTGGGATGGATTAAATATAGAATTTATCTAGATTAAGACAAGACCAGTTTGTGGATCAGCGATAATGCTCGGTAGTCAAGGGCTACTTGAGTATCAGAACTCAGTTTTTGGCGCACACTAAGTGGATTACCTGACGTAGCCTTTATTACATTAAAAATATGTGCTTATTTAATTAACTTTTCAACAGTTTAACTTTTTGTTTTTGTTGATTTTATGAATAAAATGTTGCCTTTTAATGATTTTTAAATGTTTTCTTGCAGTGTTTTTCTGAAATCTGCAATGATTCTTCTGTTTGTTACAAACTTTAAATATCCTCGTTGCTGAAATATGCTACAGAAATAAACATGCTTTGCTTTAGATGTTCAAGCTCTACACAAACAGACCCTCGATAGCCCAAATATCTCCATCTAACACTGTACTGGGCCAAAATTTCATCCACGTTTTTATGAATTTGATGGTATACTTTAAAAAAAATGTTGTTTTGAAATCAGCCTGAATATTTCCAGGGTGAACATTGATCAAAAAACTGTAAGAAAGTATGAATTTTACTCCAGAAAACTACATTAGGAGGAAAAAAAGGAAAATAAAATACAGCATTGCTTTTTAACACGTTTTTTTTAATCATTACATGTTTAAATTAGGTGTTAATTGCTTCAATAAGAGGTCCACTAGATTGCCAGAATTGAAAGACGTGATAAATGTCAAAAATGATAAACAAAATGGCTCAAGTTCAGAGATAAGAGTTTGGAAACATTTCTAAAAGTACAAGTCTTTCCCCCCTTCTGTCTTTCTTTGTGTCAGCTTTTCTGCTGAGAGGAGTCATGGAAGTTATCAGAGATTTTGCTGAAGGCTGCAGCAGTTATCGCTGAAGAAAGCGTGACTGATGGAGGCCCAGCAAGGCAGAAAGATCAAAGGTCAGAACCGCTCTCGGTCCATTATTGGCTTCCACCATTAAATGGTTTTTCAAATTAAATTTCTATGCCATTGAATCTCTGATGCTTCATTTTCCATGATACACCGCAGGTTGAAAGGTTTGAAATTTGAAAAGGTCTCAGATCCTCAGACCCCTAAAGCAGGTTTCACATACACACACCATCCAGACACAGACAGATAGGACTAACTCGGGCAGATTAAATTTACTTATCTTTGCATGCCCTTACAACTTTGACTGCATTACAGGACATGAAAAACAAGTTTCTGCCACCTAACATATCCCACTAGGAACTCTCAGCTGTTTTCTTCTTCAGAGTAAATGAAGCTGAAGTCTTTCCCACGTTGAAGTGATATAATCATCATTTGAGGATATTAAACTATAGAACAGTCTTCTTAGATCATGATTAACCAACACTTTGATTGGTTAAAACGACATCACTGAAAAATACAGACAACACTTAAAATGAATCCACCTGCCATAATGCATCATAAAGCCTTACAAATGCAGCTATAAGGGTTTATAATGTAACATCCAGCACTGTTTCCACCTGTCAGTCAAGTCAACAAAGCCCTTAACTGCGCAACAACTGACATCTGTGCACGTTTATTGTTGCTGGGTTATTTCTGAATGGGTATGTATGTGGATTTTGAAGCTTTTTGAGCTGACCTTAAATGGACTCTCAAGGAACTGGAGGTTTAAGCACATCTGCGTCACCTTCATTTCTCAAAACCGAGGTAGCTGCTCAGAGCAGATCTCTGAATCGTCACAACAATGACTCTACTTGGATTAGTCTTTATAGTTGATTGCATAGCGTACGTCTATGGTTATATGTGAGGGTTTTTGTTATTAGAATCTATCTCTATATCTCTATCCCCTGTTGAAGTGCCTCCTCTTATCTTGAAAATAATTAATGAACAGCAGGCGGTAATCTGGCTTTCCTCAGAGGGCCTTTTTGTTCTAGAGCTGCTACCTTTTTAAAAGGTGAATCTGACTCCATAGAGAGGAAGCTACAGATATAAAGAAACATTTCTATCAGATAGACAGGAAGCATTATCATAAAGCCCCGCCTTTCCAGCTTCTCTGCCTGACACTGAGCTTGAACCCCAACATCGACTTTCAATCCCAAGAGCAAATCTGCATCAGTTTCACCCCGGGCAAACACTGGTTATGGCTAAATGTGAGGGTAAAATTGAAAGTGAGTGTGATATCAATATTCATTTGTGGCCAAAAGCAGAAATACATGACATGTGAAAAGTAGACCCAATCTCGGGCCAAATCATTGATTCTGCTTTGCTTTATATTTCCTTGCTGTCGCAGCTAAATCAAGGCAAAAGGTCTAACGCTGCCGGGGCCCGACATGCTTCAGAGGTCTCTGCAGCAGAAGAGTGCAGAGATCAATGTCTTGCTCCAGAACATCCAGTCCCTCATCACCTATCAAAAGGCTGTCAGTCCACGGAAGGTCAAGCCCCAGCAAAGCCTCATCTCACAGATGGAAAGACAGCGGCTGCCAATGAAGCAGCAACAGTCTGCCAAAAAGACCCCCTAAAGCCAATGATGTCCTTGAATGGCAGTTTCTCATTTGTGCAAAGTGGCTTCTGCTGGAGTGTCCCGAGTATCTGAATTCAATGACACAGTGCCTCCAGATAGAAAACCAGTGGACTTCATCAACCTTGTTTTAATCAGAATGTTCATAAATAGCAGATCTGTACATGTTATCTTACACGGGACACACCGAAGCAAATATTACACTGACAGTGTCCGCTTACTTTTGTCACTCTGTGAGGACAGCCAGGAAAAACGAACCCAGAAATCATCTTGAATACAGTGCAAAACGTCAACCAACCATTATTTCGCCAGAGTAAAAGTATATTATTAGGAGTAATCAGCCTATATATAAAAAAGTATAAAACATAAGATTTCATTGTATTATTTTACATATTTGCAGAAGACTAACAAAAACATTCAAAAGGAGAACGTGGAAGAATCAGAGTGTGGATTTCGTTTTGATCGGAGGAAAACCTGTTGGACCTGAGTGTCCTGTCGAGTCCTACTAAACGTTACAAACCGGTACATTTGAAAACAGAGGAATAAAACATGTTGCAGCATCTTTTTTTTTGTTTCCCGTTCTCTTTGTTATCCTTCAAACCTATCGAGAGAATCTATTCCAGGCATCTCAACGAAAGCCCCCCTTTTCACTGGCCATTAGCTACCTGGCTGACGAACAACCCTTTAGTGCCTCTATTTGAGCGCCCAAAGTGTCCTTGTGTGAACACTCTTCATATTATTCACCCCCCCCCCCCATCCTCACATAGTGCGCAAATTCTTTTAATTCAAACCAATTTGGTGTTAAGAGAGATGCACAAACCCACCCTTGTTGTAATGGATTTCGCCTACATGAAAACAACCCTCACCACAACACCACTTTCAAATAAAATGAACTCAGTACCCAAAATAACAACCTCCTCTTCCCACTTTGTTATGGACTTCGAGATGAATACCTGAACCTGGGCACACTAGGAACTACTTGAGCCTCTGTCTGCCTGAGAGTCTTTGGCCTTGTGCAGGATCTTTTTTTAATGCCACTTTTTCAGCGCTCCCAGTCCGGGCTTGCAGTTTCTCTGGTCATCTCGCCTACTCAGCCCTCTCTCCCCTTCCAGTTAACGGCTGGAGTTGCAACATCCAATTGCTATCCAGAAGGTGTGCGCCGGTAAAGCATGTCCGCCAAACTTGCACATTACTTATTCACAGACAGCAGCAGGTTAATCTGAAAGAGAGAGGCGTAAAAAAACGATGAGTCCTCACCGTGACTTAGCTCAGCGCCGTTCGTTATCTACAGTTTCTCCACTGAAGTGGCTCTCAGCAGTTTTGGATGTTGCATTATTAAAACTATGTCAGGTTTGCTCGCGGCTGTGCTAATCCGACAGTACTCTACCTGCTCCAGAGATGGACAGGCAATGATTTGAAGGTCTTCTCCGTCGTATTCCTCTTGAAGTAAGGCGTGCAGTCTTTGGAATACCTGCTGGATGTTATTCTGTGGGAGAGAGAGAAAAAAAGCCATCCTATTACTGGGAGCTGGAGGGAAATTAATACTACATTTCCATCTGGCCTACGTCCCCCCACAATCTTGTTTCCATGTCAACCGTAGTATTTTGTGTCTCTCTCATTCAGCTGAACCTGGCACCTTGATGAGCGGTACACAGGCAGCACAAAGATTTCTCTATTAAAAGTTCAATCCCAGTGATAATTTAAAGCACAATTTAGGGCGCAACTTCTGAGCTGAATTTAAACAAAAAGCAAGAGTACGAGAGGATGATTCACACAGAAGATTATCAGCTTTCTCTCTCCTCAATTGATCGACAGGCCTTTTACTACAGTGACTAACCCCTCGCTAATGAATAAATGTTAAGTCAATAATTTCTGATGCGGCGAGAGGTTTGTTTACACGCTAATGTCTACCCACAATAAATCATGCGTGTGCCTATGAGGAAAAGGGGGGGACATGTCGTTCTATCTGTGAATTCAACTCCTCTTTTGTGATACCTCTAATTCAGATTATTTCTGTTACATCAATTAACGATTGGGACTCAGAGCTCCCGCTGTGTCAACACTGCGTGAAGGATTCTCTGAGCTTAAACAATGACTTGAAAAGGAATTGACTCATGCAGTACACGCTACACCCAAGCTTTCCTGCCACCCACCCGAACAGGCTTGAAAAGGATGAACTCCGTGTCTCTATTGGCTAAGTACAAGGACATGCTTTGTAAAGTGCTTGGCAGCTTGCTCTTCATCACCCGGTAGGTAGCCATCACTATATCCTTGATCTTTACTGAAAAGAGAAAGAAAAAAGGACTTAGGGCGAGAGAAAAAAAAGCAAAAACACTGACATGCCCTCTAGCTTTTGCTACACAAGTTTTGATGAATTACAGTGTGACGCCAGTGGCGTTTCCTGAGACAAATCTTACCTGGTTGTGCCCAAGGTTGCTGAGACAGACTGTATGTGGGGCCCCCTTGGATAGCCATAGTTTTCAGAGCTGCAACCTGAGCGCACAGAGTCAAAACAAAACATTACAGATTGAAAAGACTTCACTTGTGCTGCTGTGATTGTAAGCCAGGGGAAAAAAAACAAAAAAAGCAGAGCTGCCAGTTTGTCAATCTTGGATTAAACAAAGAGCAGTATTCACTTAAAAATAATAGAAAACTGAATGAGTAACACAGAAAACACGGTTGGCAACTAATTATGGAGGCACAATAAGTGCACTGAAAGATTTCACAAAACACACAACACAATAATATGAAATGTCACAACACAGGCATACAAACACAAAAAACCTTACAATAATAACTGAGACTTTTGGGATAAAAACAGTTGTCTGAAAAGGACTGAAACTCGACGTGATCAGTGAATACGATGGGTTTCTTTCTTTTTTTTTTTTTTTAAGAGGTAAATGGAGAAAAATTGAAGGTCAGAATGAGCCGCAGCTGCCCTGAGGCAAAGTCTGCCCCGACTGTAACAGTTACCTTGGTGAGAAACTCCTCAAGGTTCCCCACAAAGATCTGAGTCTGCTGCTGGATGAACTGCTCGCAGCTGAACTTCAGGTGTCGGTCCACATCCTTCTTTGAGTCGATGTAGTGCTCCTTTATCTCTGGAGTTCCCTAAGGGACAGCCACACAAAGGCTTTAGCACTATCAAGTGGCATTTCCCTGGAGGCAGGGTGTTATCAAAGTGCATAAACTGTATAGCATGTAGCAAAAAAAATGTATATATATATATATATATATATATAATGAAAGAAAAAATAAGAACAGTACCTCCAACAGGAATTCAAGTATGGCGTTGTGGCTGTTAAGTCGGAAGAATTTAGGAACAGCCTTGGGGTGAAGGATTTTGAAGGCAGCATCTAAACACAAAGCAGAGATTTAATCTGAGCTGGTGTAGAATTACAGTGCCCCCTAGTGATACAGATTTAATATGACCTTGACTGAGATGAGGGTGATAGGAGGAGCCGAGTCTGCCCTGTGAGCCATCAGTTAATGTACATTATGGTGTTGGATTACACTGTAATTTCCACATTAATTGTTGCCACTGGTGCATGTGATAGGCACAAGTTGCTTAATGAGCATGAGAATGTAATGACTGGCTTTATGGAGCCGAACACCAATGTTCCCTCCACCTTTAATTATCTTACCTCGCGTTTTCTTCAGGTCCAGTGAGATTTCCTTGATGGCAAAATCGGTGTGAAATGGGGCAATCTGTTCGCGCATTATCAGCAGGTGCTTGATCAGGAAAAGTTGCCCATCTATTTGAGTCTACGGAAAGTGATAGCACACTGTTAAATCCACACTGCAGGCTGCCAGCACAAAAGGGCATCTGCTGACTATCCAAGCTTCACAGAACATAAAAGCACCAGCTTTAGAGAAGATAAGGGAATATGTCTAATTAATAACTGCTGATTAACCATGGCTGGGAAGGGACGCATTACTGTGACCAAAAAAAAAAAAAAAAAAAAAGGCAGCTGAAACCATTTATTGCTCAGCTAGCAACTAAAACGTTGGAAAAAGACATCATCAACACAGGGAGGGAACACGTCCTCTGAGATTGATGCTGCTGCTTTAATTTGAAGTGTTGGGTTGAAACGGGCCAGTTAGCACAGATAGACAGCAAATTTGAAGGTGAGAGAAGCCCATAAATAAAGGATGGTCTGCTGAACACTCTGTAGAGCATAATAAAGCGCTCATTAAAATAAACTCGCAATGACATCCCAGCTGCTTTAGTTAAGGATCCTGCAGCCGCAAGGAATTTAAATAACAGATCACATTTTATCTGAGAGAGAACTAATCTTGTTTACTATGTCAAAATAAAGGCACATTTCCAGCTCCTTTGATAAGTCTGAAAAGTTCAGAGACAATTGGAAACAAAACTCTTTTTTTTTTTAACCATGTGAGCCAACCTTGTTTTTAAGGATGATATCTGAGGCTTTAAGCAGGGACTGGATGCAGGCAGATAAGGCTTCTTGAGATAAACCCTGGAAGACTGCTCGCTGGAAGAAGACCAAAGCACGATGAGAAACATTGGAATAAGACATTCAAAAAAAAGGGGAAAATTATACACCACTCATCGGAACGTATTTTTGAAAAGGAGGCAAGAAATGAGCAAAATGAAGAGAGGAAACTCACATCTATACATCTGTAGAGTTTGGACAGACAAACCAGCGTTCGTCTGACGGTAGGGTACCACATGCCATGCAGATCAGCAGGGGAGATAGACGTGGGCTGCAGGCTTGATGCTTCCACGTTTCCTGTGTTTATGGTACAATGAGAAGAAGCCATCAAGCACATGTCAATAACACCAAAACTGTCAAAGCAGAAATCAAAGCAGCAAACTGGAGGTGCACACACCTGCATTACTGTTTCTTCTAGCATCAGGATCCTCAAGCTGAACATCAGAAAACATGCACTCCTGTGATGTCTGCTTCATCTGCTCCTCCTTTAAGCTCTGAGCTATTCTCTGTTTGAGGGCAGTAAAGGAAAAGGGTGAATAACAAGAGTCACATTTTTTCCTTCAGCTTCAACTCGAGTTTTTAAAAGAGAAATCAAAAGAAAAACAAACATAACTCAGAAATCAAATCTCGAGAATGGAGGAGAATTCATGGTGAGCTCAGAGAAAATTTGATTTACTCCTGTGATAAATATCAAGTTTTTAACCTTGTTAACATACTCATGCTGAGTTTTTTTATATTCATCAAGACATATCAGGAGCTGAGCATGCTGCCAACAGCCTTGGCTATGCTTCTGCTTTTTAAATGCCATGTACCAATGGCAGCATCGCACAAATATCTGCAGTTGGCTTGATTGCATTGACACTGACATGAGAAGTCCGAGACTGTGAGGCAGACTACCTGCAGTCAGAACTACACATATCAATAATGAATAGGGGTGGGAGAAAAAAATCGGTACAGCACAGTATTGGGATATTTTGTCTGGTGATATATCGTATCGTCTCATTTAACAAGTACCGATTTTTTCAAATTAATTGCTACTTAAAGTCAAATTTATGATAATGGAAAAATAAAATCAACTGTTTGTCCAGAGAGGTTGGCAGAGGGGACATAATAGAGCAGGAGAAAATTAGTACAACAAATGTATATAAGGTTTGCAAAATGTGCTACATGAAAATAAAATACAGCGTAAATAAGACAAACATAAAGGAAAGACAAATGCTACATTAGCTAAACAGTTGAAAAAATTATATAAATCACAATATACTGTTTCATAAAACTCACTGTATTGCAAAATATAAAAATCGCAACAATATCGTGGCCCAAGTATCGTGATAATATTGTATCGTGGGGCCAATAGTGATTCAGAACCCTAAAGACCGTTTTTGTCGTGCGATTATTTCGGACGTCAATATTTTTTTTGAACCCGTATCCTGTCAATACAAGCGTTCACATCAGCGACGTTTTACATTCCTGCGACATTTATTTTTTCGGATCATGGTCGATTTTTCTATAGTTTCGCATACTGTGTGTCCACTTCTGACCAATCAGATTTCGTGTTGTTGTGACGTCTGATTCACCGGTATATCCAACATGGCCGACCGGCTGATTGTTTACGTGTCGGAGAACAGAGTGCTTTTTGATAAAAGATACAAACATTACAAAGATAACGACCTGAAGTATAACTTGTGGAGAGTCATAGCATCTGATTTCTTATACGACGATAGTTTGTGTGTTTTAACGGTTTGCTAAACGTCTTTGTTTTAACTTTTATCTGTGCTAAGTTACTTTAGCTCGGGATGTGTACTTTTTGCCCCCATAAAGTTACAAAATCCCGTTGGGCTTGATGTGTATAGTCAGGCGCGTCAAAATTTGCCTCCGACTATTTCGTAATTTTGAGTTCTATATTTGTGCCGGCCCCGGTGTGTAAGGACCTTAAGAATGAAGCACCTTTACTCCTTACATTGGGTTTAAGTGCAAAGTTATAGATCACATTAAAATACACAGTGTACAGTAATTTGGGTCTTCGCGGTGGGAACCTTATGCATATTTATTTGATCACATATCCATATTTCATACATATCCATACTTAAAAAGGGCAAAGGTGTGGAGAAACACCAAAGTCATTAAGGGATTTATTCATGGAAAATCCGTCTAATTATGTGATTTTGATGGACAGAGATGAGTTTTCAGAAGTTTAATTAATCCTGGGAGAAAAACTTTGAAGTTGCATAATTCAATTTAAAGGATTACAAATGTTGAAATGTCACTTTGTCTTCTCTCTTTTGTTTTAAGCGCGCACAGGTTTTTGAAGCTTACCACAAGACAAATTTTTACTTATTAGCATAACTTTAAAGAAGGAAAAGACATCCAAAGCAAAGGCAGACACTATCTGAGAGTTTTGATACTGAGTAATACGTGCAATATGTTGAAGCACTTTACAGCACTAGCTGATACTCTGCAGTACAGTCAACTAAACCTTATTTTCACCAGCTTCTGCAAGTCCTACATTTACATACTATTCAAGATAAGTTTCAAGGATGTGTACACTGCTCCTTCTTTTCCTCCGTCATTGAAAAAATAAATTTGAAATCACAATCTAAGACTGTGTGAACTTTTGATTGGCACAAAAATATTCATTCATTGCAGCCGTAATTACTTCCAAGTTGTTCAATGTTTTTAAGAGAAAGCCTGTACTTGCCAGAATTGAAAGGAGTGTTATTCCTGGAAATGCTAAAAAGAAAAGTACATCCAGTACTATCGAGGAGATCCTTTTCAGCAGACAAGACTTACCTCCATCATCTCCAGCTTCTCAGGATAGGCCAGATCCCCTGGAGCTGGTTTGTAGCCTGTGATATCTGTCTGGATGTAAATGTGAGTCCTGTAGACAAGCCTCTCCTGGACATCCTCCAGCATCTGCTTCACTACGGCATCAAAGGCCCCCAACTGAGAAGCTACAGGAAAAAGGCTGAGGTCAGTTTACAGTCAGAATCACATAAACTCTGCCCTCTAGTCCAACAATAAACTGTGAACAGATACACTCCTCTGCTGCTGCTGCTTTTTTCTAGAAGTTTTATCATTCATCCGACAGCTGCACAGCTTGTGTTCTCTGCTTTGGGTCCACTTAAACTGACCCCCTATTTCATAACACTTCTATTGTACTGTCAATAAATCCAAACAGAGGCTCGAAATTAAGATGTAAAAATTTAAATCACCTTCTTAAAGTGAAATGTTCAAATTTATAAATATATATTTAAACACTTATTCACGGCTTGTCTCTGTTCTTAAAATCTTAAACTCTGTTCTTAAAATCTTAAACTAGCACACCAGGACAGATTACTAAGTTTGGCACAAATGAACAGCTGACGCGTCTCTGCCCAAGTTTAAAAACTCCGCCAATGAACATATCTGACTGATGCACTAAACTTTAGACCCAAACGAAGCTGTCGTCTCTGTCACAGGTCACACTTCCTTACAAAAGCAGTAACTTTAAAGAGTGCAGAACTGAGAGAAATGACTTTAAATTGTACTTCTTCTCAAGGCTGCTCCTTGCATACGAAGTTAGCTTTATTATACGGTTATTTTTTCCATATATGTATACTGACTTATGAGTCGACCTTTGACCTTATTTGGACATTACTGTATTCTGACCGAAACATCCTTGGCCATACCAAAGCAAAGTACCTGAACTTCCATTTAATCCTGTAACTCTAACTTTAGGAGGCGCTTTAAACATCTAACATGCTAAATTACTCTGTCTGATTATGGTTATGATGATAGTAATAATGCATCAGATTTCATATAGCGCTTTATCAGAGACCCTCAAAGCGCTTTGCATTGGATACATCATTCACTCACTCACACAGTCGCACTTTGGTGGTGGTAAACTACCTTAGTAGTCACAGCTGCCCTTGGGCAGACTGACAGAAACGTGGCTGCCATTTTGCGCCTACAGCCTCTCCGACCACCACCACACAACACTCACAATCATACACCAGTGGAGGACACACACTGGGAGCAAGGTGGGTTAAGTGTCTCGCCAAAGGACACAACGGACAGACTCAGGATAGGGGGGAATCGAACCGCCAACCTTCCAGTTATTGGACGACCGCTCTACCTCCTGAGCTACTGCCGCCCACATGATGAATTTCCATGTTTCATTTTTATTCTTTACACTGTTCTCCTTAGTGCTGGGCGATAGGACGATAGATATCGTGGGCACGATAGAAAATGTCTATCGTGCCATTTTTATTTTTATCGTTTCGGGCGATAGGCTGTATTTTATCCATAGGGCTTGTGCCATCAGATGATTCATAGTAACAAAAACAATAATTGCACATTCAGTAAGTGTATTTGGTGTCGAACGGGAAAGAAAACAATATTTTCTTACAAAGAAAAGGATGCGTTGACGTGTAGGCTCGCATTTCTCTTTCGATTTTGCGACATGACGCCGCTTTACGTGCCCTCTTCGTGTCCAGCGTCTCCCGCCGTTGCGGGTTACCTGGGTTACACACGTGAGGGGATCATTGTAAGCAGTGCTTAATTTGTGCCGGAGCAAGTCGGAGCGCGATCCGGGACCTCTTTTGATCGGATCCGGGACCTATTTCAGCCGCTCCGGCACCTGTTTCATCTGCTCCGGGACCTTCCCTGTAGAGGATGACATTTTTCGGGAATTCCCGTGGGTCACGTGATTCCCGCGGGAATCCCACGGTATGGGAGTCATTTTTTAATTAATCCCTTGATCGGGACGGGACGGGAAAAAAGGCAACGGGAGTGGGCAGGAGCGGGAACAACATTAAAAGATGATCATTTTCAGCCGTGTTTAACATCCAGATGAACAGGTGCGTCCATTTTTGTAGTCATCTCTCACTGAGAGCCAACACTCTTGACGGCGCTAGCAACACAAAAGAACTACAACAGTAGTTTGACTTCCTGTCAGCTGGGAGCGCGGCTGCGCATTTCTACCCTTCAAGCCAGCAGCGAGGAAACGTAATTTTGTGACATTCTGTAGTTTTTCAATCATTTCTGGAGTCGTGGCGAATCATATCACCTTACCTGTCTGCCCCTGATAGGCGAATAAAACGCTCGGATTCATGCTCGGGTCTTGCTACGTGCTTCAAGAGTAAAGTAAACAATGATGGAGGCAGAGAGCAGCTTTGGAGGAGAAACATCTAGCAGTGTGAACAACCTCTTCAAAAGAGCCCTAAAGACCTACCTTTTTAATAAAGCCTATGGTTAGTTTTCCTCTATGCTTTATGCTTTTACTACCTTGCCTCTTACATTGCAACTCTATATTTTTTATTTTTTTAAGCCAATCTGTGACTGTCATTCTATTGCTTTTTATTATTATTATTATTATTATGGAGTGCTTTGGCTCACACTATCGGCGTTTTCTGTGAGTGTTGCATAACTTTGGGTGAGCACAGACATGAACGCACTTCGGCCACGTATTTATTTATTTATTTATTCATTTTTCTAGTTTTAAGTGCTGGTCTTGTACTGGCACTGTACTAGTGCAGCTGTATACACTTAAATTTTTCATAGAACTGAAAGCATACCATAGCTATATCGTGATCTATATCGTTATTGTGATATAAAATGATCCATATCGTGATATACATTTTTTTCCATATCGCCCAGCACTAGTTCTCCTTATAAAAATTATTCATTTACAGCATTTATTATTGCAGTATATCACAGAGTACACTTGCGAAGTATCGATCGAACCTCTCAAATCACTTTCCTTCAGTGGTTTTGAGAAGTTTATGAGCATTTCAACGCTAATTATAATCAGATATGATCAAGTTTGAACTTTGAGAGTAATTCCCTCACCTGCAACACTATATTAGATGAAAATCTAACAGATTTGACAGAATTGAGTTTACAGATAAAGTTAGCCTGTTTAAAAGCGTTTCGAGTATGTGAGTTGGAGGGACGGGTGGGGGACGTTATCTGACTCAGAGACCTCCACTGCTCATTCAAAAAGCTGTTCTTGACTGTTTGACATAACTTGGTTCTCACTGTGAGAAATGCTGTAGAGGACGAAGAATGACTGGCTAGGCTAACGGTAAGATTCGCTGGCTTTTACTAGCTAGCTCTGCCTGACAGTATGATTGTTCACACAACATGATTGCTTATTTCTCCCGTCCTTGTGTCAGGAAATCTGTGTTTCAATGCCATCTCCATAGTTTCTTTCCGAGGAGACTCTGCCATGATCGGATCGATCCAGTATTATTGAAGGTGGAGCTTGCAGAGAAATTTACAAATGAGGAGGTTTCAGAAATTAATCACAGAAGTGCCAAAGCGGAGCATTACAGTAACTCCACTCTGAAGGGAGAAAAAAACACGGTGAGGTACAGTAACTCCAAAGAATACAGGAACTCAAGTTCCTGGTTGTTTTCTTGGCTTTTACAGTTCCTGTAATCATGACCCCTTAATTTCTCCCAATGAAAAAATCATTTGAGAGAAGATACTTGTTCACGTGAGGAAGGATGTTTTTTTCTACATTTTAGATGGATCAAAGGTAGTACAAAAGTTCAAATAATCCTCGAACAAAGATTATTTCTGAGCACTGACTGCAGCATAGATGTACTGTAGTCTCTCCATATTTGACTAATGGGTTAAAGACTGAAGGAGAAGAGAAGATCAAACCTACCATTGTTGTGAACGTGGTCTTCCAGCATCTCATTCTTGAGGATACTGCAGAGCTCAGACAGTGTTTCCAGGTGGATGATATGGATGATTAAAGGCCGGAGGACGTCGTACAGGGACAAACATAACTTCTCCAGCAGCTCGCTGTCAGGGATTAAACATCGTTTAATTTCTTTGTAGTCTAATATTAAACTCCTGCAAAATTTCAAGGTTTTGAGTTTTCAACTAGGAGAACAAAGCAAGTACTAAAAATATGAATACAGATAAGATTCTCATGTCTGTCAAGAAACTCTTTAAAAGGTTTTAAGGTGCTACACCTTAACCAAACAAAGCTATCTGCATGTGTCCAAAGAGATGATGGCTATGCATGTGCAGTGTGTAATTAGTGGGAAGGTGCTACTCACTCTAGTTTGGGTGTAGGTTTAGAGAAGAACTCGTTGTAGAGTTGGTGCTCATCCTGACACACATGAACCATAAAGGCACAGCCACTTCGAACCTGTGCAAACACACATCATGATCATAGTCGTGATTTACTTTGGCTCCATTTAAAACAAGCAAACATCCTTCTGCATAAATGATGCAGGCACTCATTACAGCAATCATTAACGAGATGCATAACCTTTATTAAAAGTAAAACCTCAGAGGGGGAGCTGCAGCTTTTATGACACTTGTATGAAAGTCTGACCTTTAATTACAGTATCCCCATCAAGCCAATTAGTGAAGTATTTTTAAATTCCACACAAGCATCAAAAACAAAGTCTGTCCAGGCTCCAAAATTAGACCAGTTATTTCTGAAGTGTCAAATTAGATTAGGAATATTTTACATAAATCACAGCGTCAACCTTTAGGTCAGTTACATTTTTATACACTTGAGAAACATGCCAAAACAATCGCACCAGCAAAACTTTGTAGAAAAATTCACTTGAGAGCGAAAATAAAAAGTAAGCCTTAGAAGGCTGCAGCACGCACGCTCAGGTTAGACTCATTTATCATCTGAATAGCTTTGAGTCACTACACACACAAAAAAAAAAAAACCCAGAGGACAAAAATATTAACTCTGTCCAAGCTTAAATGTCGCCCTGAAACATCTAAAGCAAAGTTCCCCTTTGAACACCTTACCAGAGCACAGTGGTCTTTGTTGTTCTGTTTGGTTAAGTCAGTAATGGTGGAGGTGATGCTGGGGCTAAGGAGCTGCTCTCTCTGGTCGAGGTAACACTGATGGATTTCATCAAGGAGCTGATGATATCTTCTCATACAGAAACAGAGGCAAAGAGAGAGAGAGAGAGAGAGAGAGATACCATAATTTAGCACGGGTGCTGTAAAAAGGAGGACTGCTAATTACTGTTCCCGTCTGGAAAAAAGGTCAAACTTACTCTGGGATCTTCTCTGCTCGCTGTTCTACCTGCTCAATCAGTGACTGGGAGACAAAAAGCAGACATCATTTTTTTTTATTACCAGAATCATTCATGCGGTCAGTGACAGAAGGGTTATAAAGATGTGAAACTTACTCTAACTTTTGGCGCAGCCGCTCTAAACTTTACATAGTAAAGTGTAAAAGCATTGTCTGCATTTGTCAGACCCATGGGATCCTGGAGAGGTAAAAAAAGAAGAGAAGAATAAAGGCTGCACTCGATATTGGACAAAAACCAGAGCTGACTGTAGAAGGAGAAGTGAGGTGTTCTTACCCTTTTTGTTAACTGGTTTGTGAGATTCTGCATAGTGTTTACGACGTAGATCTTCATGAAGTGCATAGCTTTGGACAGACATTGTTTAAACTTGGCTAAATAAACCGGATAGTCCTTGAAATTGGGCTGCAATCAACAGAGAATATCGAATGTTAGCTCCAGTTGCATATAAGTACAACATGTTCCAAAGCAATTTCACTTCTATTCAAATTTTCTGTCAAAGCCTTGGTTTTAGTTTCTAATTAGAAAACCCCATAACACTTTGTGAGGGCATAAGTATGCATTAATTACAAGAAAGACATTCAAACACATGGACACTTAGAAGCATTCTTTAATGTTTAATTCCGTCTTTACTAAAGCAAAGAGATCAGCACAGACTGAGTCGAATTTCATCAGAGGTCCAAGTACTTACATGTGAAGAAACATATTCAATGCAGTCATCCAGTTTGGACAGCATTGGTATAAAGCCTTCACTATTTACAGACAAGGCCGGTGAGTTCAGTTTCTGCAGAGAAAAATAAAGCGCTCAAAATACTTTCAAGATTATAATCCTCCAGCTCTCTGTCATCAAAGTCAGAAAATTACATTAATTTAAAATCAACTTCTCCCGGAGCCGTGCTTTCTGAAAAACTTTGAGTCAGAGCAAAGAATCATCTCTTAAGCCAGATTTTCAGATTTCACTTTGAAACTTTCTGGAAGTGAGTCAAAATGTCCTCAATACTTTCTACCACACTTTTTTTAAAGAGATAATTACACCAGAAGTGTAGCTGACATCCGAGTACTTCAGAATAATGTTGCTAATGTGGAACATTAATGCCAGACATTTAACATGTAAATGTTAAACTAGTTTAAATATGTATGATGCAAAGACAAAATCAAGAGGTTCAAGTTGTAAACAACAAACATAACCAGCTTACCGTGTTAATGTTTTCTAACTCATTAAAATATGACAGCTTCTGCTGAATGCTCTCTGCCAGGTCAACCAGCTCTGACTGCCAAGAGAAAAAAAAAACAACAACTAGAGTTTAAACCACACGCTATGACACTTTAGTCTCAGACAAGGTTAGACTGAGTACTTGCCAAGTTTCTGCAAACAGCCCAGTCTGCAGTACATCTGTGAACTCCAGCAGCTATCTTTGAAAATTTGTGTCAATAAGATATTAAACATGCTACTGAAAATTAGAAGCAGTGGGATTTTCTGACCTGTATAACACTTGCTTTAGATGTTCTATTCACACAAGCTTTTATCTATGTCACTGCGTTCTGAATCAGACATTGTTCTGTGTTTGCATTCCTCTCTTGTGACTCCTCTGGGTGTTACCACAGTTGTTTGTACACATTTTGAAGAAGCGTTAAAGTTTAAATGATACAGAAGTCAAAGAAGATTATTCAGGAGTTTTTGTTTTTGGTTGCATCTACTCTGCACATACGGACACATACAGTGACATTTCATGTGCATAATCCTCTCCACTGATCCTGTCTTAATAATCTCCATATGATGCTACTGGGGTTTGACAGATACATAGAGCAGCGGGAAGCTTACCTGCTCTTTAAGGAGCTGTTCACAGGCCTCATGCAGGGTGCCAGTTTTAGTGGACACAAACAGATACTGTTTCTGAAGGGACTCCAAGTGCTCCAGAGCAGCGCAGCAATCTTTTAGAATAGCATCACATTGCTCCTGGTAGCAGTTTAGCTCATCCCTTGTTTTTCTGGATGAAAAAAAAGACAAATGTGTTTGCTAGGAGAAAAAAATGGATGAAGTAAAGCTGACTAATTTGATGTTTTGACACATAGTAGCAGAAAATCTGATACAAAATACATAAAACGAAGCTGACAGAACCCCAGCTGTGATTTCACAAATTGGGTGAGGGTAAAAGTGTGAGAAAAAAAGTTGCACCAATAAAGCAGCACAGCAGCAGATCTCATTTCTCCCTCATTTTGTTTCTTTGGTCCAACTCTGGGAAATGTGTAGCCAGGTGACATTAGAGGCAGTATCAAATCAAAACTGGATACAACTCTGTTGACTTATGATTGGCGTATGTGGTGTTTGTCTGAGTATTTGAGTTAAAAGGATATCCCGGCGTGAAATTAAGTTAGATTAAGACCGAGTTACACACCCCGTCGAGAGATGAATGTTGCCGACCACTTGGTTCTCTAGTTAAACCAACTTAATTAATGACCACAGAATAGCAATACAGAGAGCCATGCGCTCAACCAAAAAGCCACTCTATAGCCACAAATAATGCTCAGAACAGCACCTAACTTCATCAACAGTACATATAGGGTCCCAGTCATAGTACTAGCCACCAAACATCTTTTTAACTTTGCCTAATTTCTTTAGCAAAGAGACTAAACAAAACTCACCTTCTCTCTCCCAGCAGCCGCTTGTTTGTAAGGAGACCTCAGGACGCGTCCTTTACGAACAGCAGTGGGGTGACACAGCTCAAGGAAGAACATTTATGATCATTACTTTATCATTTCCTTAAGAAATGATCATCATATTAATCATTTTGCACTGCAGACGCGGTAGTTCTTCTGCCTTAGAGTCTCGGTCTGATTGCATTTCCATGATGAAATGATCACAAATGTTCTTCCTTGAGCTGTGTCACCCCGCAGGTGGACTGGCCTGAGGTCTCTGTACAGACAAGCAGCTGCTGGAAGAGAGTAGGTGAGTTGTGTTTAGTCTCTTTGCTAAAGAAATAAGGCAAAGATAAAAAGATGTTTGGTGGCTAGTTCTATGGCTGGGACCCTATATGTACTGTTGATGAAGTTAGGTGCTGTTCTGAGCATTATCTGTGGCTATAATGTGGCATTTTGGTTGAGCACGTGGCTCTCTGTATTGCTATCTGCGGTTGTTACTAAAGTTGGTATAACTAGAGAAACAAGCAGTCTGCAACATTCATCTCTCAACGGGGTTTCTAACTCGGTATTATGGTGTGTTAGACCCTAAATTCATTTTACACCAGAATATCCCTTTAAATTACTTTAATCAAAATAGACTGCAAAAAAAGTAAACATGTATGAGGATGACTCAGGATTGATTTCCTTTCAACATGGATAGATGATCAATGTCGAGCATAATGGCATGAGTTGTGGCTCCTGAGTAAACACATCAGTGCTTTCTGTTTTATACTTTACTACTGCTCAACACTTTGTCTCCTTTTCCCCTGAACATGATGAATGTATGTTTAAACATTTATGTACCTGTACTTTTCACTCTCCTCTTGGTCCATGTTTGCCTGTAACTTGGCAAACCAGGAAAAAAACTGCAATAGAAAGAAGCAGTATGTTAAAACTATGCATTTTATTACGACACACTTTGGCTACACAAGTGTTTCCTGGTGCCAAACAAACACACACACACTGACAGTCACCTGTTGTGCAGTTTCTATTCTGTTATTCTCCATGTCAAGAGACTGGAAACCTTTCAGCAGGACATCCTCTGTTGAAGCGGGGACAGTCGCTGTAAAAGCGGACTGTAAGGACCGAGATGACAGGCTACACAAGTCCTCAATGGGTAACTGCAAAAACACAAAGCCGGATTCTAGTTTCTTTACACACACAACAACAAGCTGCTGTCACATGAAGCTAGCTGGACGCTTTGACGTGGCGAAGTGCAAGCCCGCTAGTTAGCCTGCAAGCTAACATGTCGTTATAATTCCACTTTAACATCATATTAGCGTTAAAACATGAAGGAATAAGTTAAAGCAAAGGAAAAGACAAGGTTTAGTTGACCACACTGGCATTTATAAAGTAAGTTAGCTGCCCTGTTAGCCTGCTAGCTTGCTCTGGAGTAAGAGCTCACCTCTGACGGGATAGAGAGCGTCTCAGCGGCCGTTCGGATCTCCAGGACAGAGTCCATTTGTTTCTCCGTGAGGGGAGCCGTGGCATCGGTGCGACGGTCCCATAACGATAGCTTCTCCCGGGTTTCTTTATCTGTAAGGTCCAGTAGGGACTGATCTGTGAACGCCATCGCCACTTTGTATAGCACCAACGTCAGCAGCAGCAGCAACGCACAGGTACTTCCTGTTCCGGGAGTGTGGGCGGGGCTTGTCGGTGAGGCTGGTTGCTCGTCAGACAGAGCAGCTGAATGACTCAACGGTGCTCATGTTTGACTTGTGCTGTTTGAGGCTTTATCTTCATCAGAGATATATCTAACCGTGCATATCTCTGTCCCAATAATAAACAAAGCGATCCTGCTAAATACACATGCAATGATAACATCGTTTTTTCTGTAGTTTTGACTTATTTCAAACCCCTAACACTTCTGCTTTTTATTGAAATTTAAATTCAACTTCATTTTTATGGCACTTTTCAGACAAAAATGCTGTTCAAAGTGCCTCACAGAGGCTAAAAACAACAATTAACAACCTCCCACACACACACACACACACACACACACACACACACACACACACACACACACAAGCGCACACAGTGTGAGAATTTAATATATATTGTTAAAGAGACATGACCTGACACCGAGACATTACATGAGGAAAGAGCTACCTTTGGGACACACTGGAGATAAAGATAAAAAATAAAATAAAATGGTAAAAAGAAAGACTAAAACCTGATGAACTAAAACAAAAAAATAATATTAAATGAACAGATAAGAACTCTTTACAATGTAAAAGGGGCAAAAGGAGTAAAAACCTCCAAGACGGGAATTAAGAAAAAGACTAAGAACAGAGATAATTAATAAAATAACATAAAATAAACATTAAGAACTTCGATTAAAATGAACATTTGCAACGAGAGAAATATAAAAAGGCAATTAGTGAAAAGCCTGGTTAAAAAGGTGAATCTTGAGCCTTTTCTTACAAACGTGGAAGCCCGAAACAGACAAGCATTCATGCATTTGCTTTGCTTCATTTTCCAGTGATATGGAATTTGTTTCAGCTGTTTTGTCAAGATCTCAAAGGCTGATGGAACATTAAGGTGTCAAAGGTGCAAAAGTACAGCACAAACCCAGAAATAAGCAGCTCAATATACTTTCTGTTATTAGAGTAGGTAATATGACAGCATGGCATGTGGTCTTGGGTTAGGTCTTGTCAACTCTAATGAGGTATGGTGATCAGATTATTTTGTTTTACAGATGACCAGAAAATTTGGTCAATAACCTGAGAAAACATGCTGTTTCATCTCAAGACAACCAGAAAAATCAGATGTGGTCTTGAGAAAATAACTGGAAATGACTTGCTATCACAGGAAAATGAAGAAATCAATTGTATGGCTGCATGTCCACTTGGCTTTCTCATATTTTCATGAATAATCAGACCATTTTATGATTGAGTGATTATGTGAAAAAATATATTAAACAGGATAGAATTGTACAAAGTAAAGTAATGTTTAGGGCAAATGGTTAATAAACACTGGAGCAAATTTTCACAATATTTCAAGCACCTTATTTATTTCAGAAGTAGTGTCTTTATCACATCACCATATTCATGTCTTCTGATTGTAATTGTTCCAGCCTGAGTGCCATTCAGTCTGCTTTTGCCTGAACTAAATTTGCCTTAGGTAGCACCAGGTTGGCAGCTGTGCCCATATTATAATAAATATAAAGCTAACACTGCAAGACAAATAGAGTATCCTGATGGATGAAATATGTGGGTGGGACAGATGTGGCCTTAGGCAGCTTAATCATTTATCACAGAAATATAAATCCAGCAGGTGGAGCCCAGGGGCATATTTTTAATAGTTCACACCAAGATTTTCCTTTCTTTTTCATTATGTTCATAAATTATTTCCTCTTTTTAAAGCACCCACTAAGAGTAAAGCTTTATAACAGCTTTATTTCACTGTGTCTTGTCCTGTCAGGGCTTGAACTTTATTGTCTGCAGACTATAATACAAGTGGTTTTATACCTGTGTGTTTTTAAGGCAAAAAGAGGATAATGCATCATGAGCACTTTATAAAGCCTTATAAACACGTCATATGTTCCTTTAACACAATGATAAGAACTTATAAGCAGTATTCTGGAGCTGTAAGTAAATTGTCAGACAAAATACTTCACAACAAGAATACATTTTTGTAAATATACATCTTATTTTTCAGCATTGACTTATTATGCATTATAAACCGTACTTTTATAAGGCATTATGCTAACTATGTATGACATTAATACTATTTTAAAAAAGGTAAAGCTGGTAAAATAAAAAAATAAAAATAAAAAACTGTTTAATTTAATGTTTCTTTATTCTATGTATTTTCAGTGTTGAAATAATCGAGAAGTTCTCACAATTAATATATATATTTGTTAAAAATAATACATCACTATGTTAAATGTTTTCAAAAGCATGTGCTGTAACTGTAAAGGATAAAAAAAAAAATAAGGTTTATTTCTGGAGTCCCTATGGATGTTTTTTGTTTCTATAAGCACCTGCATACAAACTAATCCTTATGTTAGAAAAAGGATTATTACCTGATTATGTAGAAATGTCAACTTTTTTTTAATAAAACCAGCTAAGGGCGTAAAATTGTTGGAGTACTCTCCATTATTGCTCCAAATATACACAGCTCAAATCTTCAAAAAGCCTGGTGGCAGTGCACGGAAGAGGTAGAGTTCACGAATTACAGCTTTTCCTGCAGGGTGTCTCGTGGGGAAGGTCACCCAGAGTTCAGAGTTTTTTTTTCGGGTTTTGCTCCTGTCTACTTTAGTTGAAAGGAGATGCTGCAGAATTCAAGCCACGTTGCACCCGAACAAAAAGGGATGTCAGGGCAAATCTTGTCAGGAGCTGTATTTTGGCTCTGAGTGGGTCAGAGTCTGTCCTGTAAAGAGAGGCTGACACTTCTTTCTATGGAGGTCATGTTTTCTTTTCACTGGGGGGTTGTGAAAGCTTGTTCGAGCTGTAATTAGACATCAAGTATAAATGAGTGTAAACAAGAGCACATTGCATCAAATTATTATAATACCAATCCACATATCGAGAATGCGGTGCGACGTAAAAATGAGGAAAAATCACACAGATGATTAAAGGACGTCAGTTTTATTTTGTCTGACTAGAACTAAAACATGAAAATCGTTATGAAGAGCTTGAGTGAGAAGGCTGAGATAATGCTGAGCTATGATGAAAAATGTACACAAAATAAATATTTAAAATTTGCTGAATTGACTGATTTCACGCTACAAGTGAAGCTGCTGTTAACTACTGTTATCTGACCTATTTAAGTGTTTTTTTACCATACAAAACAGTTACAAGGAAATGTTGCATTATGGTACATGGTAAGTGGCTTAGTGCACTTTTTATGGTCACAACTTTTCAAAGTGTATTCACTTCAAAAACTATCCGAAACCTTACATCAAAAGGAGCCTCTAATTCAACCTTCCAAAAACATAGTAAGTCATAGATATTGCTTATCACTTGCAACCTGATAAAACACAGAAGTGGAAACATATAGAATCTGTAGCCTATTCAAAAATATTCTCAATGTGTAAAATTCAAGCAAACCCTCAAAATCACCCAGCAGTGTGTTGTACATAAATGTGCAAAGCAAAGAAAAACATCTATAGATGTTTGAAAATATATTTTAAATAATTAATTTCAACAAAAGGCTTGATTAGGAATGTTATCCTGGGTTAATAAGTGCATCTTGTTCGTTTACCGTTTCTATTTTGTTAACAGTAAACAGGCATCACAGTCAATCAGGCGCAGGCAGTCAGGTTTCCTTTTGGAAACACATAACGTAAAAATCCAGTCGGACAGGTTTATTCAGTCATTGAAATCTGTCCCCTCTAAGTGATCCGGGATTGGCAGTCCTGTGAGGATTGTTAAACACCTGTTCCACACGTTAAACACAGGGCACACAGGCTGAGCAAAGGCAATGTCAAAGGTGTACAAGTGCTGAGAGCCCACAGCGTCGTAGAAAGACAGAGATCCAGTGTCGTAGTCCAACAGTACCCCCAGCCTCCGCAGATGGGGGGAAGGCTCTATGGGCATTTCCTTACAGTTATGACGCACCACCCAAGAGTTGTTACACCGAGACAGTACCCAGGAGGCGGAGTTTTTGCCGACCCACTCATGCTTTGGCGCCGACTTGTATGCGATGCCAACTGCAAACCTGCATGCCAAAAGGAAACAGAGAGACTTAACCACTAATACAGATACAATTCTAGCTTTGTCGACCTGGAGCAATGTTAATATGAATATAAACAAGCCTGCAAAGCATGCTGGTGGCTATGAGGTTCTGTGGACACAGCAATGCTGAAAGCATATGACAACTTCACTGTGTTAAAATCCACACAATGGCAATATCAAACTGATGCCCGGCATAAAGTATGGATACTATGTTCAGTATTTAGTGTGTCAGCATACTAAGAATAAAAATGTTGCACAAAACAAAACATATTCAAAGTTAATTGGAGTGAAATTATTAGATATTTGAAAATTTGACCTGACCTGAAGGCAAGAAAAAGAAAATATAATCATAGCTTTATTGACTAGCCTGATTTCTTGGATAATTATCTAATTATGTTGCGGAAAAACTAAAGGTGAGACAACAGCAAAAATCACAAGATTTCCCAACACATTACAATGAATCCACTGAGGACCATGAGCGTTAATTTAAAACTTAAAGAGTGAATCAAAAACATTTGGTTGGTGCAGAAATCATGAGGTCTGATTGTGGAAAAGCTGCATCATATATTTACATCTGAACTTCATAAATCAATACAGAGAGTTTTGATCAAAGTGTTAAACAGCAGATATACAACAGCTTCCCAGCAGCTACTTCATTATCAAGGCTGCAAACAGGCTGATGTTTTTACCATGTGCTTCCTCCTATCAGAGCTTCCCAGTAATGGCGTCCGCTGTCAATGTAGACGTTTCCTGTCACTCCGTAGCTGCTGTGGCTGGTGAAACGGTCCTGACTGTGGCTCTTCTTAGACGACGTCTCGTCCCTCTCCACTGTCAGGTTATCGTGTGACACCCTCAGCTTCCTGTGGGCTGACTTTGGGTCCAGTTTGAAAGGTTGACCTTACAAAAAAGTATGAATTAAAATGCATTAGAATCCTTGTGGATAATCAACCGTTTAGATGTGCATAACTTGACTTACTGTTGGTCTTGAGCTTCCCTGGTTCACTGCTGCGGTTTCCAGCCTGGTTTATGGCTTTCACTATGAAAATGTACTTTGTGCCACACTGGAGGCCGTGCACGGTGTAGTGATTTTGTTTGATGTTTGGTACAATCATCCAGCTATCAGCAGAGTTGCACAGACCTACAGCCCAGACACAGAAAGTCAATGAAAAAAACGAAAATAGATTTGCTTGAAAAACTCACAAGTGAGGCATTTTTTCAGTGTTTGAAAACAAAAAAGTGGGACTTGTTTTGGCACCTCAAATATAGCTGCATTACCACTCATCCTAATGCGTTTCAGCACTGAGGCAGATGATCATAAATTGCTTGATTGAGCATGTTGTGACCTTGTTAGCGCAATCAATTCCAGCAGTCTGCTGCTCATTCCAACCCCAAAGACAATATCGAGCTCATGATGTGCATCTGGATGTAAATCTAGTCTGACTGAGCAGGGTTTTTTTATCCCTTATCCCCTCCTAGACCCAAAAATTGCAGTGTATTTTGGTAACATCTCATTACCCTCAAGAGCCTGCACAAAGCCCCCCTCTCTCGCTGCTACAATACAATATTATGTTGGGATATTGTAACACAGCCCCCAAACAATTTTAAGTCCTTCAGCGAAATCCCTCTAAAATCCCTCAGTCATTGTCATGTTTCCCACCACAAACAATTTGCCGCCAGAGAGCTGCACGTAGACTTACTGACAACATTGGAGTGGCTGGTGAAGATGGCGTACTGAAGTTCATATGATACCACCGAGAATTCGTCATCTGATGTCCAGTGGACTGTGATTGTGTCATACGAAGCTGTACATAATTCCTCGCGGATTACTGGTGGATTTGGTGCTGCAATTGGAAAACAAAAGAAAAATGCCGTTCCAAGCTAGTAATGAAAAGCTGAGTGGATTGTATTCTGTACAAAACAGCAACAGAATAACGACCAAAAATTCTCAATATGTTGCAGAGACCACAAAAAATAGAAAGGATAATGGCAGACAGCAACATCCTTTTGTGTTTTCTGCTCTGACTGGTGTAATTAAACCGGGAAGCAGTTCCTCTAGCTATTAGAGCTACAGCCCCCATGCAGGGTTTAATTCACGCTGCACAACAGGCGCTGAGAATAAACAATCAAACCTGTTTCATTTAGAGGAAAATAAAAATCCACTGTGGTGAAACATTTTGAGTTTTCTGTCACCGGCTAGTTAATATACAAAGTCCATGCTTGTATTTATGCCAAAGCCGATAAATACAATTTATAATTAAAGAGATTTCGAGGACAGTTTAAGTGGTACTGCTTGACTAAAGAGCCAAATCATCGAGAAAGAAATTAGCTTCAAGAATGTGAGTAAAATTCTGTCCAAGTATTGTAGAGTGCCTACGGTCTCCAGAGAGTTATTAGAGAGTGAGGAATAGATCATGTTCAAGAATCACTCACCTGTGAGGTAATCCAAGCTCTCTAACATCTTCTTCTCCCGCGAGAAGTCCAAAGCAAAAGTATCAAAGGTGTCATTCAGGTTGATTTCTGGTAACAGGATTTGGGAGGAGGCTGTTGCCATTGAAACTCTAAAATAGAAGAAGAACATTATCACTGATGCTGATTGATTCATATGCCATTATATTTGATTGCTTTCTTTTTCAATCACCTCTCACAGATGCTTTTGGCTGTCTGGAGGAAGCGAGTATGATCCGTCTCTTTAAGAGTTTGGTCGGCCTGAGCGATGAGAGACGAGGACCTCTCGATGCACTGTTTGCAGCTGCCAATCTGCTGGGCTAGTTTCCTCAACCGCACAGTCTGAACAGAGACAGGAAAAAAAAACATGTTGATAGATGAAGAGCTTTGGAAATAACCTTCTAAAGTTCTGCTTCCTGTATGAGGCACCAACTGGCAAAATGTTAGATTTGATTCTACTTTGCAGATTAGAAAATCCTGCACAGGCTTATTTGATTTCAGTCCCTGACAATAAGATTTCTCTGTCATATCATTAACAAAAAAGTATGAGCTTCATTCTGTTTTATAAACTACGCTGGCATGAGAAGTGTGCTCATGGAAACATGCATCACATTTGAGCCTTATTGACTTGTGAGCTGAAACCAGAACCTGACACAGCGCACCGGGTGAGGAAGGAAAAGAGTCTTCCTCCTCAAGAGGGACATCACAGGATACAGATCTGATCTCACCGGGATACTGAGTATGGCACAGCATGCTACTGCCTCTAATGACGGCAAGCAGAGGAGAGGGGAGGAATTGATTCAAGAGGACTGGATTTAACACACGTCGAATGTATGGGCTTGGTATTTTTTCGTGGGATTGATTTTTTATATTAAGATAAAAAAACTTGATTGATCCTTTTCAAAAGTGCCAAAACCTTACCTCCTTGTAAGTAGGAAAGTTCAAAAGCTTAATAACTGTTCTCAAGTACGGTCAAAGGGGTCTGCTGCATCAATATTTGATTTTTACTTTGAGCCACCACATTTCTGCACAAATATCTGCACTTTTTTCCCTCATGATTCAGAACAGACTTGTTTTTCTTGCTAAAGGATTCGTGAGTTATTCTGATTTTGCGTAACTGCAAAGCAGCTTCTGTGCAGATTGGTTTCCACCCAAAAGGATGAGATAATAGTGAGACAAGATGACTCCTCGACCACAACATGACAAGAAAAGCAACATTTCAAAACAAACCCAGCTAGAGGAGGGAACTTGACCAATCAGGATGGAGATGAAAACATGGTCCTGTTCTAGTCAGCTGGTGAGACTCGTGGGTCCTATGATGTTATGCCTTTTCATTTTCTTTTGCTCCATTCATGGCAGTGAACAAAATATTCAACAACATTAGAAGAAAACGTTCCATGATTTCAACACAGTCCATGTCTGGAAAGGAGCATGAAAAACTCTTATTTTTTCTGCTTCTTACACAAAACACAAACGAACAATAGAAGAAAATGGTCCATCCCATCACAAGACAACAATGATGATGATTACTTTGATGATGCTCCTGCTCTGAAAAAGAAAAAAAAAAACACCTCTTGCCAATTTCACATAGTCTGACTATTCTTTTTTCATACATTTTCTTAAATTGCAATATCTGAATACGTCCCTGCAAATCATTTTGTAGAGAATTCAACAGTTTGTCTCCAATCACAGAAATACACATCCGCTTTAAGGTCATCCACGCATACTGGTGCTTGAAATTAAATCATTGAAATTCATTGATTGTCTGATAAGAAATTGTCAGTGAAATTGAATTGGCAGCCGACGGGCATTAAGCTACATGAAGAAAAGTTCAGACTGTTCAGGAGATGTGCTGAATATGTGAAGAGGTCTGAGGTTCAGTGGCATTTTACCCACGCAGGAGATAAGGAGCAGGTGAGAAACAAATTATGCGGCAGAATAATTTCTGGCACTGTGCACTGGGTAAAAACAAACCTTCAAAAATACTGTTGTTTAGCTGTGTGTAGTTGTGTGAAGTAGTAACTTGTTTAAAATGTATTGCTGTCTTGTCCTTCTACAGAGTAACACCAGTATAGATGTGTGTGCACTCGCCTTCTCTCTCTAACTTAGAAAAGAACATTTTCAAGATACAAGGCTCTGGCCCAGGAGCACTGATTTGTTACTACTGCAGTCTAACAGGAGCAGCATGCTCCAGTGTTAAGATGTAAGCTACCTTGTCAGCTGTGCCAGGAGGCGAGGCTATCAACATGCACAAGGTGATAAACATACAAACAAAGGTTATCGAGACACAGAAGGTGATAAACGGTACCTTCCCCTCCTTTATCTTTGTAGCTATGATCTGTCTCCTCTGCTGTATGATATTAATCAGCAGGTCGCACTCCTCCAGCAGCTTGTTTTCTTGTCGCGATGCATTAACCTAGACAGGACAGGACAGAAGAAGGAGTGCAGATAAGAGAGAGTCAATCAGGGGGAGTGTTTGTGATTTATTTATGGTGTGATTAATATAATGCAAAACCCATGTAGCAGGAAAACAACAGTAGAGGATAAATCGGCCCCCTCATGATGGAGAGGACATAAGAGCAGCCGGTAGAGGTGGGCTGAAAAATTTACAGTGTGTAATAAACAAAATCGATCATTTGTGTGGTAATGTAACAGATCACCAACTGAGCGCCAATCCTCTGCGAAACAAATCATGTGGTGATATTGGAAATGCAAATTCAACTTTTTAGAACTAGTTTGAGTTTTTAAAAGTGAGTTTTTTCTCAGTCTCATAGTCCTCTGGTGCTTTTCCTCATTAGGTCAGCAGAGGTCAGGGGTCATGGTCAGCCAGATTGAAATAATTGTTGCAGCTTCATTTACTTTTTAATAAAATGCAAAACATCAGTGTGCAAGTTTTATAGTTTAAATCAACTTTATAACTTCTGTCGCCCATAAAACACATACTAACATACATGAGCTGACCCCATCTGCTCCTGTACATAGTTCTACAACAAGTTTTAGTAATACACTTACTATTGATAAGTACCCCATACAACCCCACTTTGAAATAACTCAACTATCCCTTTAAAGAAGCCTAATGTCTACCTTGTACAGTGTGCTTATTTTCAAGTTCATGTAGACCAATTTTTCATCGAAATTTGCTCTGAAAATACACTATTCGCAGCACATTACAGACATGATTGATCTATAGCCTAATGAGCACTTAATCTTGTTGACATGATGAAAAGTCACCCTCAGATACAGTAATTTATCACTGCGTTAATAATTCAGTGAGTTGTTGTCTATGAAAAACCACAGCAGCGAGCAGCCCGGCACCTGAAAGCAGACAGATAAACAGCCTCACCTCCACATGTTGGCAGGTTTGGATAAGTTTGCCCATCAGACTTTCCAACTCACTGGTCCTCTTGATTAGACTGCTGAGGTTGGAATCCAAGGCTTGCTGCAAAGAAAGAAAAAAAAAGAAAAACAGAAAATGAGTATACCATTACACACTGAGATCCCCCGACTCCACACCCAAACTGTGAACAGCTGAATGAATCTTGGAGGGGAGTCAGGTGAATGGAAATATGAGGATCATATCTGGCTCCTGTGTAATGGGCACAGGAGAGGACACATGAGGCCGCCTCTGGATATGACTGTCCACATTTGAGCCCTGATCTGTGGAGTGCCCCTCCCGGTCCTCCCCGCGAGCCAGAGATCCCATCATACTGCCTGCTGAGGCCCGCGGAGCTTAGCAGAGCATCTGCCAACGATTTGGACGACTAAACTCCGGCTGTGTTAATCACTGAGTCAGATCAAAGGCTTATGTTTCAAACCTAATCTCTCGCTGTAATTGGGTAGGAAGACGACTGTGCCATCATAGCACAAAATATCTTCAGATATAACCCTCTATTCTTCTTAAAGATTATTAATGTGTAATTACAAGTGAGGGTGCTATCAATTATCTGCAGGAAAACAAAAGTGCAGTCACACCAAAATTGAAACTTGAACGCTTGATTTTGGAAAATGGATGTTAATAAATTTATGTCTGAGACTTTCACATCCTATTTAATGTCAAATTCAAGACAGATTTCTTCTGCGTTTGTTGAAAGCACCAACGTTATAAAGCTTAACTTCAAGTGTATGTTCTAAATACAAAATCATTTGCATCTTGAACAATTTTCTCTTGTCAAAAACAACTTTCTGAAATAATCAAAAGACGAAAACAGAGAACTAAGATTCTTTAGGATGTGTGGTTAGAGATTTTCCAGGCCTTTTTTTAAGACGTTTCACATTGTGATTTTATAAGGTAGTTGCGTCACCATGCACCAAAATAACACAGGCTTCATTTTATCACTCTTACAAGTATGAATAATTCACATGGAGGAGATCGTGGTGAAAGCCTTTTCAGATACTGAGCTGCAGGTACAGGTGAGGAGAGCCGAGTTCAAAACTTTTAAAACTGGCACATGAAACATAATATATCCATCAAACTGATGTTGAATATACCTACAAGCCCAGAACTCTCCCATCAGTTTCATCATCTGAAGTATGAAGACGCTTCACAACAAGAGAGTGGGCAAATGTGAGAGACGAACAGGTCCATCTCTGAGAACATTCTGGTTTCTCAGTATTTCTCACGGTGTCTAAATTTTGGCTTCTCTAGCAACATTAACACTCTCTCTCTCTCTCTGTGTTTGGACAGCTCTCTCTAATGGACGTCGCTTTCCTAGTTTCATTTCTAGCTGATGAGAGGAAAGAAAAGCAGCTTCCTTTTTCTACGTGAATGCTTCTGGTTCCACACCTTTGCTTTGGCCGGCCTCTCTTCCTTCCTCTCACAGTCCTGACGGGTCACTGTCAGGACTCTGGAGTCTATCCTGTGTCAACATACCAAATTTTCTCCTTTGTCAGGGTTTGTAACTCGATTCTTAACTCCACAGGCTCCTGTACACATGTCTTTGGTCGTTGACTGAGCCGTAGCTTTCACTGCATCAGGAACACATCCTGTCTAATTGTGCGTTTTCCTGGTGCGCAGATTTACTTGAACACCCACTTTCCCTCTCTGTGGACTGTCTGTATGTTGACTTACTGTCACTCTATCATGATTTTCTGAGAAGCACAAATAGAGCAGAGCCTCCTTAATGCTAATAATCATAGCACCTGTACTCCTCCTGTGCTGACATGTCAAAAAGTAGGCTGCAGAGAGGAGCTTTTTAACAGCGCTGTCAGCTGTCTAACCTGTTTGAAATGTAGGTTCCTGAAAAACAACCACGAGGCTGTTTCAGAAAACTTTAAAAAGTGAACAACAAAAGATGTCATGTTGTGGAAAATGTTTTCTTTTTTTCTTTTTATGGTGTGCCTTCAAGGATGGTCTAGATGCAACACAAACATCCATCGTGTTAAGAGTTTGTTTTCTATTGTATAACATGTCTCCTGCATGCGTGACATATATGTTTCTGTGAAATGTCACAGTACAATGTCACCCAGCAGAAAGGAGGGCATCTTTATAGTTCAAGAGCAGCCTGAATTGCAAACTTGCGTGCTGAACATACAACACAAAGACACATCTCTCAGGGTCTCTGCTGTATGGACTATATATACAATGCAGCAAAGGCAAGGCGACCAATACATTGTGCAAATATTGTTTACTTTCAAGTTTAACTGCTGAGCAAGGTTATAGGTGACACATGGACAAGCTGCTCCTTCATTCTGTTTGTGGGATTTTCTATGAGGGAATGTTAAGTCTGTTCAATCTGTTTTTTATAGATCTGTACTAAGTTTAGGTTTCAGCAGAGAAAGCTCCCCCCTCTGACTCTTGTTCTGCATTCTTTCATTGTTAAAGCTCCTGTCAGGAACTTTCAGTTTGTGTAAATTTGGCATCCTCTGGACAAAGCAGTACTCTTCGCTTTAGCTGATTTTGACCAGTGCACAAGCAAGACCTGCTTCTTTAAAGTCCCACTCCGGTTGTTTTTTTGTTTTTTTTACAACTTAAAGTGTTCTCAGTGGTCTTTAAGTTATGATTATGAAGTTTTTAGCCAAAATCGCATTACCTGTGTCATTTTCAAGGGCTTTTTTTTATATGCAGCGCTTATTAGCAATTCACCCCTGAGTTGTGGGCAGAGACAGCGCTGCTCTTCACTCTAGTCTTCACGTTAGCTTGCAGCCTAACATTGCTGGTGTAGTAGAGGAAGTAGGTAACGTAGGACCTATTCAGCTCTCAGACACTAGTGTCTTTAGAGGCATGATTGAAGTTAAAATCATAATTAGCTTTCTTACGAGCATTTCAATTCACTAACTCACACGCTTGTTCTGCGATCGTCCTCTCTACTTTTCCGAATGTGACCTGCATAGCAGGGCTCCGAGGGCGGAGCTTGGATTTGCTTTGTAGGAAATCTCTCTTTTTCTGAGCCGGCTGTTTGGGTCTGCCAGAGATTCACAGCGATGTGAATGCAGAAATACTCAGAAAAGCAATTTCACACTTACTTTTCTCATGTTATGTCCTGTAGCATCTGAAAAATACCATATGAACATGTAGACTACAAGAAAAACATGATTTTTATTGGAGTGGGTCTTTAACAAAAATCTCATCCTGCTTTATTTTAAGGGTAAATGATCTCTCATTAGATCTTTGCTCAAATACTGGCAACATTTATAATCACTTTGCTTGATGGCTATCTGGCAGCAGCTGCGATACTAAGTAAACCATCATATAAATCCTCAGCCCTGATCCTGCTGGTCTTTGCTGTTTCAGGTCTTAATGAGGCACTGATAAGTCTCTTTCATGACCTGTTAAAAACACCCCACAGCAGCTTTAAGTGTTGATTTCTCCACCCTTGTGGATGGAAAAACTTGCAACCTCATTTTATCCTCAAAGTAAGGACTGAATCCTTTTTCCCATTGCAATATTGATGTAAGCTGTGACCGTTTATTTGATCCAGAAGGGAAAAATGCATTTCTACATCAAAAGGCTTCCAATTTTACAGTGTCACTGCTATTCCTTTGTGTGAGGATCTCTGAGAAATGTGAGGCACTGTAAACACATGTTCAGAAAATACAGCAACTATGAACAAGCTCAGCTGCATGCCACCTGGGTCCTGTCCTGCGTGCCACGAGAAGCAAACAATCTCTCCCTGAGATGGGAACTGCTGTTTCCTATGAGGCTGCTAACAATGCAGCTAAGTGTGTGTAATGCACGGTCAACAAGATGGGAAAACAAATAAAAACATGAATTGGCAGAATAGAGCCCATTGTTAAATTACAGACGGCTGAAGATGTAATACGGCAGAGAAAACAGATCATTGTTAGTGCGGCTTTGGAGGATAAAGGATCAAGGAATCTATTGATGTCTAGTCAAACACTCTAGTGTCTCCTGCCATTTCAAGTGTGTGGATATAAAAAAGAAAGGAAAATAACTACACTGAAAAATGAAAACATAATGCAGTATTTTACAAGGCTATATTCTCTGCATAATAACACTGACAGACTCAATATGTTGCTTTTCAAGGATTTTTTCCTTGAAAAGCGACGTATGATTCTGCGTTTCTCTGAAGAATAAACCTGTCCTTGAGTGTGTATTTCAAAGAAATGTTTCTGATCACCTGGTCGGCCTCCTGGTGTGAACCATCACGCCCCACACAGAGCAAGTAGCCAGAAGATTTCTGCACAATGACAGCATGATCAAACAAAGGGAGACAGGTTAAGACTGGTCCTCTGACCCTTCTTTCCAAAATGATGCATCCCAGCTCCACTGTGACCGAGCATTGTGAAAGGGAAGAATCAGGCACAGAAGGGTTTCAAGTGTATCTTGTGATGCTGTAACCCCCCGACAACCCCGCTTTTGTGAGTCATGCATGGAAACGGGGAGTGGAAACAAAGAGGAGCTTCATTTTTATTTCATGCAGTGGATGCCATGCTATTGTCAGAGTACACTTAGGGATGAACTGAGAGGTTTGCATCCAAAAACAAGACTAGCAAATGATCCCATGAGATTGCAGGAAAAAAAACAACCACACTGGCTACTCTTTCCTGCTCGGTCGAAAATCTCACTCTTACATAAGAAGCTGATTCACGCCTGTGATGGTAGGGATGCAGAGCCACCTTTCTGTCCAGCTAACAGCATCCCCTCATGCCTTATTGATATTAGCCCCATCTGCTGAAACATGAGCAGTTACTCTTCCACCTAAAACTGGGAAAGTTGCTTTCATGGGTAAGGATTACATTTGAAACTAGCCCAGAGTGAGACAGGCTTCATCTCACCCCATTTATATTTATTTATTTAAGGATTATGATAAATTTGGGTTTAGGGGAAGCACTAAGGCGGACATACTCTGCGTGTTTTTGTTTACACATCTCAGAATAAGACCCGAATCAAGAGCTGAACACACACTGAAGATGTAAACCTCTAAAAAACTTAAAAAGTTAGAACTATTTACCACAAAACAATACTGTAGAGGTTTAGAGGATACCTGCACAAGTAGTGTCTTTGTCTGGGGGTCATTTTTGTCTCTGGTATGTTCGCGACTATTTATAATAGACGGATGGCTCATGAGGAACTGACCTGAGATAAATTACAGTACCTATATTGGTTGTGATTAAAGATCATGTCTTGGAGTGCCACAGCGTAGTTTATTGATGTGTTTTTGAATCAAGGTCTATGAAACAGAAGAACGAGCCGCATCAATCAGGCGCTGGCTCCACAGAGAGTTTCTACAGGATGTGTGTTAAAAACAAAAAATGTACGACATCAATGATCACTTATATGATACAGATTTAATTTTGTGTGGGAGTCATTTGAAAGGTTGTTTCAGGTTTCTAATTGCTGAAAGAGAAATGTATGCTTAGTGATTTGAGTAAAGATACTGTATTTAAAAAACACGACAAGGAGCATTAATGTAATCTTAAACAAATGGCTTTAAGTTTGAGAGCATTTCATTCAATTTAGATATAAAATACTTTAAGTGATCTTGTTGAGTCAGAAGACAGATTTTTAACTGCACAAATCTACAAAATTAAGCAGTAAAAGCTCCCTCGTGATTCTTTAGAAAACCCAAATTCAGCTGTTGTTTAAACACCTCCTGAGCCTGATACACTGTGAGGTGAGAGGAGGTGAGTAATGTAGAGATCAGCTTTCAGTGAGCTTAAACCGGTAGGGAGAGTTTTGTGCGGGGCATCATAAATCTCTGAGCCTTCCTCTCACTCCTACGGATCATTTCTTACCTTAAGTTTGTCAAACCGGTCGCTAAGGGCTGCCACTTGGTGGTCCCGGTGTCGGCCAACTAGCTTACACAAAGCACAGATCAACTGTTCGTCTGTCACACAGTACATGTTGACCTTCTCCTCCTCGTGCTCCAGACACATGAGCCCTCGCAGATGGGAGTCCAGCAGCGGCTCGATTAGTCGGTGGCCCGTGAAAGGCTTCTTGTTGGGGTGGGTGGCCTTGAGACACTCATCGCAGTATGACACCTCGCAGGTGACGCAGGTCTTCACCGCGTCCTGCGGAGGGTCCTGCTCGCAGAACTGACACTGCACCCGGTCGGTGGGATTTGTCATGGCTCTGCTGTCGGGGGCGGCTCGCTCACGCCGGGTCTCGTTAGGAGAGTTAGGTCCGCTGAGAGAAGCCTTCTGGTAGCGGTCAATGATGTTCTGTAAAGTCACGTTGCGTTTCAGTCCCTCTAGGCCTCTCTGGTTCAGAGTGATGACATAGCGACAGGTCGGGCACTGGAAAGCGCTGATGGACTGAATTGGCTCGGTGGGGGTGCAGTGTGAGACCAGGATACGATGGGCACAGTTGAAACAAAGGCTGTGAGCGCAGGGCAAGAGCAGCGGGTCCTCAAAGAGCTCCAGGCAGATTGGGCAGGTCAGCTCCGACTCCAGTGTTTCCATTTTCAGGCAAAACAAAGAGGGGTAGTCTGCGAAATCCAGGGAAGCTGATCAGCTATCTGTAAGGAAAACACAGAGATTAATGTCTGCGAGAGGACTTGAACTGTGGGAGGTTAGGAACAATTCTTCAGGTGTTGTGTCACATATTTTCCAGTCGAATTCAGCGATTCAGAGATCTCATAAAATTTTAATTACTTTTCAGACTCAGATACTTGCAGTTAAAAACTATGTGACATTTATCAATAAAAAATATTCAGAGACCTCAAATTTGGCTCTGAACTAATCTGTAACAGGCGCAGAATTTCAGAAATTCCTAAAAGCAAATGAAAAATGAAAGTAACAGAATATTTTATGATAAAATATAATCAAACATGGCAGCCCTAAAGTTCATGTTCAGACATGAGGTGTAGAAGAGTTGTGATTTATACTGGCATTGTGCATATTCTCTCCCTATTATCAAGCATTTATGGTATAAAAAACATAATTATTCATCCTTATCTTGAATTTCATTTGATCACCACTGCACACTGAATATATCAACATATATAAATATTTCTTTATGGAAATGTTTTCTGATTACGTTAACAAAGTAGACAGTAAAAATGGAACGAGCCAACAGAAGGGGACTCATAAAAAACACATGTCATATCATACATGTACCAGACTCATGTGAAGTCTTTTTGGCTGGACTTACAACTCAGAGAATGCAGCAGCAGCTCATTTTAATTTGGCACAGGAAAAGTCTAGCCTGTCCCCATGTGTTCTTCTCTGTACTGTAGTCCACAGGCCGGTGGGGCCAGCGAGGACTGACAGCTCAGCCAAGCAGAAGTCTATTGGCCTGCTTGCTGATGGCTGGGGCTCCACACTATCACAGACACTGAGCCTTTGTTCCCGGCCAGTCGGACACCCCAGCTGCGAGTGAACACACTGTGCTTCACAGCGTCTCTCTCTATGTGAACTCTCTACCTCCACTCATTATGTGTGAAGAAGGCAAAAGCTCATTATCAGGACAGTCGGGGCCACAAGTAGCTCTTTTGAAGTTGCGAGGATACAGCGATTACCTCTGAGCTACAGACCTGGGTTTGTTCTTTTCTATTCTATTCAAATCTACACAGACAACGCGGCTGTCCCACTGCTCTGTGCGAGACAGAGTCAATTGTTGCACTTGTCTCCGGTGACTGTGATGCATCTGGGACCTTTGTTTCCTTTGATACTTTGTTCTCAGGAAATGCAGGTGACTCAAAATTATTATAGATGATCAAAGACGACCTCTTGAGTATGTAGGCTTACAGCGTCGTGTACTGAATTGCTTTTCAAGTTGGCAAACTATCATCCAGTATCAACTTATGCTGAAAGTTTCAGATACTCTTAATTCTAACTCTCTAAAAGTCAGCCAAAATACGGCACAAAACAGCTTCATTACTAGCATGCATTTTATTTGACATGTTTTGTACTGTAACCACACAACAGTGCCGCTCTAGTGAGGCTCACAGTTACAGTACAGCGGTTACAGTACACACACAAGTCTCATCGAACAGGTTCAGTCGTAAAATACAACATGGAAGAATATTTTTGCACCAAAAACACAATGCAAGTAGTAATCCTCTGATGTCATCTCCTGTGGTTTAAGTTACAGAGAGAGTGTGTGAAACAACACGAAGGCAAAGAGCCTCTACAAACTGCTGCTACAGCCCAAAGTACATTACGCACTCCTGAAAGCTCTCCCATTCATGCACAGTTTACTTTACCCACCGATGGATTTCGCCCCACTTTGCACTGCCGAGACATTTCTGCTGAAGGAAAAAAAAAACTCCCTGACCTAAATCATAGACACATTTTTATGACAACAAATGCACTAGCCAGCCATTAAACCCAGCCATTTCTGTAGAGACGGGCATCCAGATGGCACAAGTCTTCACAGCCCTAGTAATCCTGCAGCAGAGCTGTCATTAGGCAAAAGATTGAGCAAGAGGTAGCAAGCACAACAGGAAAAGTTGCCCGACAATTCCAGGAAAGCCAGCTCCACCTACAGCTGGAGCGCTGGCCAGTAACTGGGAAAGTGAAGAGAGAGAGAGAGTGTGTGTGTGTGTGTGTGTGTGAGTGAGTAAGAGAGAGAGAGGGTTAGAGAGAAAACAAGCAGAAGCAGAGGAATTGTGCAGAGCCCCAGCCATGCCCTTACAGGCAGGTTAATGTCCTATCGGCCCTGCCCATTCAGAAATTCAAAGCATCAGGATCAGGTTCGGGTTTCCTTGTGTGGCCATCCCTCCGCACAAAGCTCTGGATTGGAACTTTTCTTAGCTATGCCACCTGGGATTCAAAGAGAAAAGCTGAGGACAGAGCCGAGAGGCCACCTGAGAGACTGCAGGACTCATCTGAAACCAAGGACAGAGTCGCGATTACCTCAGCGCCAAAAAAAATCACAAAGTGACGTGGAAAAAGTGAGCTACATCACAGTCTCAAGCGGCTTGTGATGCTTAATACACCTCGTGGGTGCAACAACTCAAAAAACTACTTTAAAACTATCTATGTCTTGTGAAATCCCCGCTTCTCTTCCTGACAGCAGACACTGAAAGACACTTAAGCTCCCTCTCTGACAGACAGGACTACAAATGAAGACAGGCACTTCCACAACATCACCTGCTACATTCAAGCTTGTCCCAGTTGGCCCTCATGAGGGAATCACCAAGGTACCATCTGCTAACCATGTGCCTCTTCCTCCAGACACACCCCTGCTGTGCTCCATTTCAATTCTCCTGTCATTCACGAGAGTCCCTGGAGCGTCCATCCTCTCCAAAAGGAAGACACACACTGTAAATATTAAAGGCGAGCTAAAGTTTAGACAAAGCAGTGGGTGTGGGCTACTCTGCTCAGGGGATGCACACGGGAATGTGACAAGAATTCCCAAGAATTTCCTCAATAGTCGCTCTCAAACTGTTAGGAAATTTACAGTCATGGGATTTGAAGGAAGATTTCCATGAAATGGAGATGGAGTTTTTCTTCTTTTCTTTTAAGTTTATAAAATGTTGGCTTATGTGTCCTCTCTTTTTTATAACAAACCAGAAATCAAAGCAATCTAAAACTCAACATGATCGACTTCATGTCCAGCTTTTTGACATACAGGTTTTGATATCATGTGTGGAGTACTCTAATGTGAAAAAGACTAAAGCTGCTAAGTATTAATCATTTAAGTCATTTTCTTGTTTATCTGATAAAGGATCAAACAGTCAGAATTTGTGTATTTTATCTTTAAAGTGAATATTTCATGTTTTTTTGTCCCCTCTCTGACAGCAAATACACAACAGTTTACAGGTGGTGGACATAGACTTTGTTTTAAGGGTGATTTTTGGCTGTGATCCAGGCTCTTCATCATCCCATGACATTTTATATGTGAATCAAGAAAAATGTTGAAAGATACAACATCAAAAAAGTTAAAATATAATCATATAATCACCCGCATAAAAAAGTCTATTCTCTGTGTTACATATATATCCATTTCAGCAATAATGACAGTTTAGAGATCTCCTGCTTCCATCCCTCCAGAAGCAAATGCATTAAAATGAAATGGTAGCATATGTGCAGCACAATTAGGATTGTAGCAGCTACATGTTGGGGATAAGTAGATATAACTGTGGTGAGACAGATGCACTGACTATTTGCTGCTTTGTCAAATGGTGAACTTAACCACCAACAGAACATTTGGAGCCTTATTTGATTCTGAAGTAATGGGTCATTAAGAAATGAAACAATTACCATGTCTCACATAGGAAGACAATTACCTGCTCTAGCACTGTTCTAATCCTTTTGGTTATGGTCTTTTATCACTTTTAATGATGGCTCTTTCCCCATGTATTCAGCCACTGAGAGAGTGTGATTGCTCTTGTCTTGTTTCCTGGGGCAGACACCTAACATATTTATCTGTAATCCTGTCTCCACAGCGTGGCTGTGACCAATGCGTGGCCTGTTGCTGCTCCCTAAAGCAGCCTGCTCAGCAGCGGCCCACTCAGGCCTAATGTGATTTACAGCTGGAGCTGCACGAGCCAGCTGATTACACTGACAAATCTACCTGACCTGCAGCTGCACACATTACCGAGATTAGCTGCACGAGGCCTGGCCCTGACCACCAGTCAGTATTAGTCTTATTTAACTGATAGTGGAGGGAAAGTTAATTACAAATCTAAACATTTAGGCTACTGAATTTATATCTCATCAGTCAAACAGGATTAGTATGAAAAGTTATACTTTTCTACAGTGCACTTTGATGCTCACAGTAAAATATGACTTTCCATTAAGAGGCTCAGCTTCCGTCCAGGGTGAACGGGATGTTTCATAATGAGGAAACAGCCCAAAAAAATCGTTAATGTACCCAATGTTTTTGGCTAATGAGTTTCTTACAGACTAGGAACTGGAAATAGAGGTCTTAATGTCAGCCACTAGCCTACTTTTCTCCCTTTATTTCCATGTAGCTTACTGTCTGGGCTGTAAAGGTCATCGTGGTCAACATCTGAAGTTGCACCAAACTCTCATTTCCTCCCAGCGCGCGCGGCTTGGCAGGTGGCATCCGCGGGAAAACACCGTATCCTTTCCACAACCACATAGGAACTTGTGACTTTCCAGGCATGCAGCCTGGGCTGCTCAGAGGTCTACACAGAAAAGAGTCGTTTCCCTGAGCTCTAAAGTGTTCCCTACAAGCAGGATACTCGAGTCTTTCACATAAACTCAGACAAACCGGTTCTGACCTTTTTTTTTTGTCTCACCTGATGCATTCACGTTTGAAAACGTCATGTAAAAACAGAGCTGTAGCTCTTGCAGGGTAGAGAAGGCAAAGAGCGACACCACGTGGTTGATTGAAAAACTACACCAACCTTACTCTTAATCAAATTATACAATTTCTACTATGCTGTTACCTGGTGATAGTTAGTTATGCTTGAAAAACTATATGATTTAAGAATATTGAATCAAGTCTAGTCAAACTTCATCTACACTAATCATCAGTTCACAAAAATATCTCAACCTGAGCCTTCATTTCTTCAACATGTTATCATATACACATTTTACCTGATACTGCTCATCCTCTTTAAATTGTTCTTATTGTTAATCAATTTAATTAACAGCCTGCTGTCTATTAGCCTACTGTATCCTTTATTAACTGCAATGCTGACTTCTGTTTCTATGCTGATACTCTTCTTTTTGATTAGATCTTCATTATCGTAATACTTAAGATACAAATCTGTGCAAGAATTGTTAAAGGCTGCATTAGATATAATAAAGTCCTCGACAAAAACTTGAAGTACTACCATACACATATTAATAGGATTTGAAACTCCATCCCTATCTTCATTTAAAACCAATGTGATGATGTCTTTATAAAGACCTCCATATGTGTTGCCATGGTGACAGCTTGGTATCTATTTGTCACACCGGTGATCAAAGGCAGCCCACTCTGGTGGGAAGATGTCTAACATTCCTCCTCACAGGAACCAGATAAGTTACTAATTAATAAGGGAAACTGTAGGCCCAAGTGCAATGTCCCAGTTTTACTCTTCATTTGCTTCCTGTGTGTATGCAGTCCTGTCACAAACTGTGGCCAGATGTATTACTTGAGCACATACGGATGTGGCAAGGGGGAAAAAAGTGTGTATCCTTTATCTTATCAGTGGAGTAAATGGTATTTTGTAGGTCACAAGGCTAGCAGATTATGGATGAAAGGCTGGGTTTATCTCCCTCTGGGCTACAGTGGCTTTCTCTGTTTGAGTCAAGGTAATAAAAAACTTTATGATGTCTGTGGAAAGATGACTCTGAGAAAGGAAAAGAAAGCTTACCCTCATGCATAATGTTGCAAGAAAAAAAATCAAGTAGTTGCTTAATCACGACTGTGTTGATTCTTCAGCATTAAGTAAATCGCTGATTTGGTTCAGGAAATTGTCTTTGACTACCCAACTGTCTCTGACACTTCTTAATCACTAAATTCCCCCTGGCCTTCCAACTTAGTCATCCTAACTCTCTGGTATTATCCACAGATCAAAACATGAAGGCATCTGTGAGCACAACAAGGCCAAACAACCCTCACACTTGCACAGATTCCTGCCTGCAGGCTTGGAAACATAATCATGACTCAGTGTTTTGGTAGAAAAACACTGAGGCACAGTAACGCAAAATTCAAACCCAGCGAGGAGTGACCTTCTGACTTACCCGCCACATGATTACATCCATAAACAGGCAAGAGAGGAAAAAGGCACCCTTAAAGTCAGTCAGTGTTGATATCTGGGCTCTGCCAAAGCTGATCCAGTGCAGTGATGTGAACTTTGAGAGGAGTGACTCTTCTCTGTGGCTCTCTGTGAGTTTCTGACCCTCTAACCCTGTCCTCTAAGCCTATTGAAAACCAGTAGGAGGATCGAAACTTTCCACCCTTTTCTCTCCTCTCACAGAGGACTCTACCTATCCCACATAGTCTTAGCTGGCCTGTAAATTGTTGTATTACCCAATCACATGCGAGGGGAAGGACTTGAGCTGGTTTGCTCTATCACTCAGGGCTATCAGAGCATGGAGTGCAGCCATAACTCTCAACAAAGCTTTTTTTGTCATCCTCAAATAAACATCGCCCACATAGCTGGGCTGCACACCACCAAAAGAAAACCACCAGAGTGCTTTTATTACACACACTGTCTTGGTTTTGGCATATTTCATACAATGACATTCACAAGTTGCATAAATCAAATTCAGAGATAATCCCAAACTGTTATGAATTCATCCAACTAGCGGGGTTATTGCAGCATGAAATGTGATACATGCCTGACTTTGAATGTGGCGCATTCAATACAATTCAATAAAGCCGGAAGAAATAGTGCAGAAATGAACACAGAAATCAATGATGAGCAAATGCTGCAGGAAGGACAGTGAGCAACTGATACTTTGTGTGCAAGTTAATGGCCCGGTGCTAATGCTAACATGGACAAATAAAGATGTATTTTAAGGTCTGTTCTGCGGCTATTTGACTCAGACACACCTCTTTAGTCAGGCAAATATACCTTTAGCTCTAAAAGTGTGAACACTCTTTTGTTTTTCCACGTGAATACACTGAAATGGAAACACACAGGAATGCGCTGTGGTTGTGGCAGTCGACTTAGATGGTGTTGAAAGTTGTTGGCATCTGTTCGCTACTCTAAGGCTACGCTGAAAATGTCTCCAACATCAACATGTGCTGCATGAGTCAACTGGCATCTGCTGGAACAACTGATTCTGATCTAATAAAGTTTGATCAGTTTCAGCTCTGGATATGAGCCTGCGTTCTCTGTTTAACTACAAGGTTTGAGGTATTTAGTTAAAGGTCGTTACCCTAGTTGGCCTTGTCAGCTACATCAATTGGGTGTTTTCAATACATATATCAGAGTAAAGCAAATGTTTAGGTTGTGTGGTGACACCGCAGAGCATACGGCATGGACTGACTGGGATTAGAAGAAATCCACAACCTCTGCCAGGACATCTTGTGTTTTACTGGAGGCTGCAGTGTGCTAAAAGAGTGAGAAAAGAAATGTGAGAGCGTATGTAAAAGTCTCTGGAGATTTTGTTTGAAACTTAGAAATATATGGAGAAAATCAAAGCTGAGAGTCCCTCTGAGCATTACTATTCTCTGAGTTAAAATAAACATCCAAAGAATTTGAAAACTTAATCCAAAAACTGTTTATTTTGCCGAGTAGGCCATTTCTTATGAAAAAGTGGGCGTGGCACGACATGTTGCAGCTGACATCTGGCACTACACTCCACATGGTGTACGTGACTTCAGCGAAGCGAAGAAAATGATTCATTTTAAATTGTTTATTTTGACAGTGATTTACAAAATCCTTAGTTCACTTATCTGTACTGTTGGTAATCGTTTTTAAACTACAGATGGAGTTATATTAGCTAGTGTTGTATTACTGCAGCTTTAAACTCTGGGAAGAAACACTTGGCATCTGCTACCAGAAATAAATGCAATGTCCAACACTGATCTCCCTTTGCAGGAAATGGAAAACTGGGTTAATTATCAGTGACTATCAATATTCAGCCTGAAAACTGTGCTGCTAATGCATCTATCCCAATTACTGCTGTGTCACTTCTTGTATCTGATTATTAGCATTTGTCTTATGAAAGCCCAGTTTCATCCAAGGGTCACTTAAAATTTGTAACATTTATATGGACATATTAAAAGAAAAGATTAATTACACTTTCAGATTGACATGACCATGCGTCCCAGTAGGACCAGGACCGTGCTGTGTTAAAGTTTTGTGTCCTGAGTCCTAACAGATATCTTGAAAACACTAACAAGTCCTGGTTTTGAACAATCCTGGCCTTTGTTTAAGCCTTTTGAAACACCAAATCATTGTGCCATGCTTGCAACAACTATTTGTCTGTGTGTCAAAAAGTTTTGTTATCAAAGCCTGTTGCCAGAGAGTGCAGTGCTAAATGGTCTGTACCGTTGTCTATTGTATCGGTTTAGGGCGGTGTTTATGGCCAGCCCAGCTTGTCATACTGACTTGACCTGCTGATGTGCAGGTAAGCTAGTTGTTGGCCCACCCATGGTGGAAATACTAGCATACAATACAAAGCTATTGTAAAATGGTTGCGTATAGGCTAGAAGCAGAACTGTTGGAACCAATGTGAGTGAGGCTAAAACCTGTGACCACCAGCGCTGTTCAGGAGGACACCTTTGCTTACCATCCTGTGAAGCACAAAGCTGAAAGTATTGTCATTCAACTTTAAGTTTTCATATCTAAAGGCTACATGAGACAATAATAACACATACGATTGTTATAAACTTGGGTTTTGGTTAGCTTTAAAGCGATTAAGACTCAAAGCAGCAAACACATCACTATCTTGGCAATTATTTTAAATTGAATTATAAAGCAAAATTAATTGCAATATGTACAAATTAAAGGGTAAACCATGTGCACATAAAGAAACAATTAATATATGTATAATTTATTTGTAAAGACTTTTTTTAAAGCAGTTAATCCCATTTTCTCTCCAATGTGATCTTCATTTTCTCTGAGTGAGAGAATCCCCTGCTAGATCTGTCAAACATTCATACCAAAAGGCATGCAGAATACTGCAAAGCATGTTTATTTTAGCATAGCAAAACTTTCTCAAAGCCTAACTTGGAAGTCTAAAAAAAGTCACCCACTGGAAATACACTTCATCCCTTACCTCACAGTCTGTTAGTCAGTCAACCAACGAGTCCATAGTCCTGGTGGCAGATGAATACAGAAATAAAACCCAGGAAGAGATTTCTCTATAAACACCGGCTTTCCTCAGAAGCCTCCCTTTAGCTCCTACTTTCAGTCGGGGCTCTGCTGCTTCGTCTGTCTCCCCACTATCTCTGAAATTCTCCTCACACAGCCTCTTCTTCTCTAATCCTCTCTAAAGGAAGCCCAAAACTGCTCCAAATGGTTCAACCAGGCGCCGACTTCTCAGGCTTTTTTTCCACTCTTTGTATTATTTTGTTGGCTGGGATCATTAACTTAGTCCCATGAGAACATAAGGAGGTAAATAACCCCCCTCCTTGCTGTGGGAGGCTGTCAATCACAACTGATGATGAGGTGGTGAGAAGGGGGTGCTTTTAGCCGCCAGGGAGGCACTTCTGATTGGCCACCGGGGAACAGAGGTGTCTTGCATGACAAATGGGAGCACTGGGATGGATGGGCCTTGCAGAGATGCTCAGCTGAGGTTATGTGCACATTTATAATAGACTCCCCCTCATTTACATATCATTTAAAGAGGAATAAAGCCATGGAAATGAGTGAGTAATCAAAGTTGACATAGTAAACGTCTATTTAACACAGCTGAATTCAAGTAATTCTTGTAATTTATGCTGTACTTGAATAAAAGGGTCAAGAAGAATCAGAAGATCTTTAAATGACTCTTTGGTACAGTCTGGACGCACAGTAGGGGGGGGTGACTGGGAGGAAGGCATAAAGCTTGCGTTGCCATGGCGGTGTGGCGAGAGCAGCGATGCATCTTGGCGCTCTAGCCAAATGCCACTCTAATCTTTTCACTGGCAAAGCTTCAGCTCTCTCTTCACAGCTTGTTTGTTTCTCAGTCAAGCCTACTGCTGCCTGTCACTCTCCAGTTCCTCCCAACATCCCATGCCAATGTGGAGTCTGCTGCCGTTTTGTAAGGAGAGGAAATGTGTAAAGACAGTGTTAGTGCGGGAACAATACCTGAGATGGGTCACTCCACTCCCAGTGACCACAACTAAACGATTAGAGGCTGTCAAGTGAGGGGAAACAACGGATGGATTAAGCATGACTTCCAGAGTGATGCCTCTGTATGCATGGCTCCTTCTGCACACATTACACACACACTAATGCATTTGTAAACAGCACATCAAATTCCTGTGTCAAACATGCAAGAAAAGCTCACAGCAATGCCGCATTATTCTCACATCACTCCACCTCTACAGCCAATTACAACAGCAAGAAAATCCCTTTTACTACCCAAGGGCGCACATGGCTGTATATCCATAAACTGCCAGTGACATAAGGACAACTCTGCTTTCTTCTCTTGCAAGGAGGCGCATTTTGTAGCAATAAAACGCCATAAAAACTAATGATATTCACATGCAAGCAAGAGTGAAAGTGATATTTGAGGCCAGGATTTTCTTAAAGGTGAAAACTGTTTGTCACTGCAGGGTCAATCTCGAGTCACTCACCCTCTCTGAACTGCTCTGATCATTAAGTGGAAAAATGTCTGTTTCTGTTGTAACCATTACAATTAAAAAAAAGAAAGAAAAAATTGTCTCGGCTGTGGTTCCAGCAGCTGTCCCCACCTCAACCAGTGGAAACCAAATCTGATCCTTGTTTAAGGCTGAAAGACAGAGTTTTTTTGTGGCTGTTGGTCCGGAAAACGGGCAACAAATAGTTATAATTTGGTTTTCTTTTACATCAGCATCAATTAAATTCCCTCTAATCAAAACAGAGCTGATATTATTGAAACCATGTATTTGACATCTACTATTTTATGATGTATTTACTGTAACACAAGAGAAACTAGCTGTTCCATCACATGGGACATGTGCCACAATGTAATCCAGTCCAGAGGTTGGGTCGCTCATAATGACAGTTGTGTTTTCTTGTTGACGTGTTTGCATAAGTGGTAATAAAGATGTTGACACTCCCAGAGTAATCCTTTTCAAATTACTTCCTGAAAAATTTGATGCATTATAGTTTACTTATACTCCCTTATCAATAAGTAACAGCACTGTCGGAATAATTATTCAAAACAAATGAATATTCATCCCGACTAAATAAGGCCGTTTGCTGCCTGAGGCGGTCCTCTGGGTGTCGGTTGGCACATCAGGCTGTATTAATTGGAAAAAGACCTGAAAAGGGCCAGAAAAGCCCTCCTGAAGGAGCAGATAAGTTGGAACAAAATAGGCTGTGAAATCTGATGTTACACCAACTCTAATGAGTGAAAAAGATATGAATAGATATGTGAACAGTTTCAGGGACAATTAGAGCAGACACTTTGCCATCATCTTATAAGATTATACTTCAGAGCTGCAAACTTATTTTGCACTAATCAAAAAATCCCTGAAATATGAGTGTGCTGTAAGGAGTTCAAATGAGCATTATCGCAAGAAAAACAAAAATAAAGTAACTCATTCATTCTGAACAAGAGCAATTATGTCCAAACTATCAACTTCATTGCTCTTTAAAGTAAAGAATCACAACTTTAAGATTAAATTCAGTGAAAAAGTGAGCCAGACTTACATGCAATCATCCAAGGGGATCCTTCAAAATGCAGGTGGTACTCCTATTAATGGTTTAGCAGTCTTTTTCAGCAGCACATGGATGACAGACTAAACAAAACACACAGTAGCATCCCGGCTAGTCTCGTCCCACACTCCCTCCCTTATTGCCACTGCTCCCCACACCCACACCCAGCCCCAAGCAGCCCCAGCCGTATGCTCATACGAGCGTAAAACGTGGCCAGGAAGCGTCACTTCCACTGGGTCATTTCATAGATACTGTCTCCATTAATGCTCTGGCCCATCAACCCCCACCTTCCTCCTCTTTTTCCTCATCCCTGTGGTTGAGCTCTTGCCCCTGGCTCCCCACCCTCCCTTCCGGCAAAAAGACAAAGATGTAGCAAATGGGGAGACAAAGAGGGTAGGGGGGGTTCATCAACCTTGGGGACCCGGTTTTTGATGAGTTTCTGACGATGCAACCGGGCCCCGAACAGATGGGATCAGTCTCCAGGGCTCAGCTGCACCGTTGCGTTTAATACACAGCACCATACATCCTCACAATAAACGTTTTGTTTGGCTGCTCACTTAACAGTACTCATCAGTTCATAGACCTCATACAAGCACCAAACAATGCCAGACAGAATATCTTCATCATGGCATGTCAGTCATTACCCCCCAAGAATACGACTGTGATTAAAGTCTGAAGGGCACTACTAATCAAGTTAGCACATGCTCTTGCATCAAGATTGTCTTTTTGAGTGCCAACACTGATCCAAGCAGAATGGCCGTTTCCTCTAACGAGGACAGGTACTCCTCATTTCGCCAGTAAACAATAAGATGAGAGTGGAGTCTGCCCCCATCATGGCAAAGGTTCAACATTTTAATTACCCCCATCCCTAAGGCATGCCGCCCATAACTAAGCAACCTGCAATCAATCTAAACATCGACCAAATAAATGAACGTGTTAGCAGCAAGCCAATTAACACCCACTGCGATTTATCTCTGACTTCCAATGGAGGTGTTAATTTAAGGTATTATCACAGGGAAGTCACACCCGGCTAAGGATGCTGAGAAGAAAATTAAGAGTATAAAGTATCCACTCTACATGTCACATCAGCCAGAGTGGACATACATTCACTGTGGTGAACATATAGGACTGTTGTGAGCATTGACCTGGAATTGATTTTTTCCTTCTGAGCACGCTGCAGCTTTATTGGCGCAGTGTTCATTTTGCCAACAACAGAATCAATTTCCAACCTTGTACTTCACTCTGGTGTGGTGTAGCAAACTAATAAAAGCTGCAATCTTTGCAAGTTTCATCAGAGGCAGACATGGTCTTTTACATTTATATCTTTTGAATAGAGACCAGGAAACTTTTTTTGTCCAAGTCTTTGGGGCATCATCTTAAAGGTAAGAATGCATACTGGTCCAATAAAGGATAGGTTGAGAATATGACAATAAATAGACGTAGCCTATTTCTTATTTCTTCCAGACAACTCATAAAAAGTTGCTTTCATTTAGACTTTAACAGCAAGTCAACACATTTGGACATCATAAATTTGAAGAGGAAGCACAGCTGCAGCGAGAGTCATAATGGTGTCAGCGGTGTGTGAGTATTTTACTGTCTGGGAGGATATTCATAGAACAGGCGCTGCAAGTATTCTCTGTGAAAGTAAGAAATTCTCAAGTTTTAACACGACAGATCCTCTAAGGCCCTGGGAAGCTGTCACTGCAACAAAGATCTTTTGAAGAAATATGAAGCCGCCGTGATGGCGCCTCGCGTTAACGCTAAGTCAGCATTTCCAACATGGCGATTGATTTCAAAACATGGCTTCAAAAACAAATGGGTAACATCGCTGATGCTACGTCTCGTAATTATACAATCTGTGTCTATGAGGCGATGTTTTCTCGAAAGGACGTTCAATTACACATGTAGATAAATCAGAAATTTGAACATAATTCGATATTGATGATGGCATATGAGTTAATTAGGTTCATTAGTAAAATTTAAGGACTTATATTATATTATATTTTCAAAAATATGTCAAATGTTGCTTCACCCTTTTCTTGTCTTTTCTCAATTTTACTTCCTCAAATTTGAAGTTTCCATAAATATCACGATAATCCCATTATCCAGATATTTTAAGGCCAACATAGTCGTGAGGTGAAAACCTGACATCATGGCCGCTCCAGTTCACATTATGTAGCTAATGTCTAAATAAGATTTATCATCTGGTTCAGTGATCATGTGATCATGTCTGTGTCAGTGCAGTTGCATCACACATGGGTGATGATCAATCAGAAGCAAGCTTCCTGTCGTGAAATGCCAGCACCCTTTTCACCTTCTTGAGGTGAAGGACAAGAATATCATGGCGAGTTATAGTGTGTAAGCAGGAGGAAGAAAAACTGGTTCAGTCCCAAGGCTAGTAATTGTAAGCCTGCAGAGCATCTCATCAAAACAACATGTTTGTATGTTAGCTGCAAGAGAGCAGCAATCACTTGTGACTCAGGTGCTGCTTAGCATAGCCAAGCACACCATGGAGGAGCCAGTACATCCAAACAGACCAACCCCCCCTTTTCAATTGCTAGTCCAGATCCCCCCTTGATTCCTTTCTGAAAGTTGTAAAGATATATTTTGAATGTG